ACTCTTCAAGGACTAATACTAATAATTTCGTAAAGCTGGTCGCAAAGTTCTCGATAATGTAAAAGAAAAATTTATGCGTTACGTAAAAGACATTTTTAGCATTCCCTGTGATTCTCGTTAAATAAATATTCTGAAGATCAAATCTCACTTATAAATTATTAGATATTAATAGATAATATCCATTCATGAATTGCATATATCATGTTTTAAAACAATTATATCACAGTTAAAGATAATTTCGAATTATATAACTTCCGCAACAGAATTAATTCTGCAGTCTCTTATATAAATCGAAAAGTTCTATATTCTTACTTCTACTGAAAGTTTATACTAAAATTAATTGCATTCAACGAGACGGCTGAATTATCAGGGGGAGGGGGGGGAGGGAGGGTCTTATCGAGTGTGTGGTTCCTGTGTGCCGTTACTTTGACAAGTTAATAAAAAAATAATCGGCTGCGCGTGTTAGTACATCGTAACGAGGTACGCGATAGTACTCTTTTATCTGCAGACCACAGGAAGCCGGTAGCGGGTCCAACGATAAAAATCCTTCGCGAAGCCCTGCGAGACGTGAGAATGTTGTCGGTTTAACGTGTTAAGCCTCGCCCGCGAGATATTTTTATCTGACATCGATGAAAACAGTTTTTTTCGTCACGCACACCAAAAGATATAAATAACGGAGATATTCTCATTATAAAGGATTCACAGATCCTCCGTTAAGAGGCCTTCGTTAAATCCTCGAAAAGGTAGGGCGTCTTGAATTATCACAGTTTTGAATTATCACAATTCAAAAAATATACAATAAAATAACTAATAAGTGTTAGTGTTGATAATAACGCTACTATTATCTCTAATCGTCGATTCTGACTCCCTATTTCTCGAAAGTTGCAGCCGCCCTGAATTTCCTATATAGCCCTCGCGATTCTCCCGCCGCTCGGCGCAATAAATTTCATATAACTTCGCGCTGTCATGTCGTTACTCGAGTAAAGTCACCGTCTTACGTATCGAATAATCGCGAAAGGTTACACCCTTTCGCAGGGTCACTCGATACTGTCAACGAACGAGTCGAAGGTCCTGAAGGCGCGGGAGGAAGGAAGGGGCCCGCCCTTCGTAGGGCTTCTTATAAGAATTCCTTCGCGCCGGAATGCACGGCGTCATCGTGTTACACTTGCGCCGAGTTTCGCTCAACTGCCAGAGAGAAAGAGGGAGAGGGCCCGTCTCGTTTCTCTTGCCGAACCGGTTTTTATTCGTCCTTAAATCGCAGAATCGACGCGTTCCGCCCTTCGTCCCCGCCGTTTATCGAACGATCCCGCGTCGTTTGAAACAATAAAGCCGATTCCATTCCGGGGGAGATTCGCAGATCCGATTTGGCGGGGCCGGGATAATGATCCCGGATTGCGCCACGCTTCGACGCCCACGGCGTTATTCCTGCAAGGACGACGGAAGGGATATCCCCTTTCCGCCCTCGCGCTGCGCAAATACGCGCGGGATTAAGGTGCATTAACGGCCGCGTCGTATGTTTCAATCGCGATTTAATTATTATGGGTGCTCGACAGTCACGAGTTGCCCGATTCAAACTATATATCCATGCTTCAAATTCTCGAAAGCAATTTTACAGAATTATCTAGATATTTTCCATCTGTAGATATCAATCAAATTTTGTCAGGGCTTTTAAATTTGATTTACTCCCGAATATTTGGGTATAATATTTTTGCCTTCGTGACTTCAGGCATTTTCGCTTTAATTTCAGATTGATGAATAATGACGAGACTTACAAAATGTCGAAAGTTATTTTCTGGTTTAATTCGGACAAATTCGTTTGATATATGGGACTTAAAAATGTTAGGATTTTTCGAGGTCATTGTATTGATAAATACTTTACGCTTCGAGAGTCAACAATGATTTTGCTATTTGCCTTTTCTTTGGAAAGGCTCTTTTACCTTTTACCTTTCCAATTTTCTCGGTACTATTTTAGTGTCGAAGAATCCGTAAGGGAAAAGACGCGAAGATGATTAATGGAATCGTGTCCGACTTAAGAACGTGCTTTTCGCCTTTTCTCCATGTGTGTCCTACTTCCGGAAAAAGGTATGAAAAAGGCGTGCGATTTCCACAAAGCAAAATCAAGGCCAACTTTTTTTTGACATTGCAACAATAGGATAACATGCGGCGTAACTGTCTCGTCAGTCTCGTCACACTTTAATAGGTCACTGGCTGACACAGATCTACTCGGAGAAACATTTCTCATTCCTTGTAGCGGCAGTTCGAGCATAGAATTTCTCGGAAACTGATTCACATGAATTAGACGTTACATTTCTTCGAACGGGCTATCAAAAAGAGAAAAAAAATACTTCATTTCTTAGCACGTGAGAAATGTTAATATAAAAAGAAAAATACGGGAATAGATTAAACGATGATGGTCTTTAGAAATCTTCGTGGTATTATTTGAATTAATTATAATACATAATATGTGAATTCCTAGAATAATGGAACGGTTAGAATTACGATGATTACTCCGTATCACTTAAGACAGATAAAAAATTCAACGAGTGAATTAACATCTACCGACGTGAACGTGAGAAAAAATGTGTATAAACTGTATGTGTGTCGTTCAATAATCTTATCCTATATTTCTTCGTGATTACGCAGGATATTTCGGTGTAAGCAAAGGGAGCAGGTCGAAACAGGCGTTGCAAATCGCTGACGCAAATGATATCTTTAATCTATATAAATTCTTTACAAATATTTACAATAAGAAAACAAAAAGTTTTCTCTTGGCATTGTCGTATCCAACTTAAACGTGAATAACGTAAGCAATGATCGACAATGATTCATCGTACTCGTTAACGTTCGAACGGGAATCATCGTGATTCACATAATTCGTCACTGGCGAGCCGTCGTTCGTTCGATGAGCATAGTCATCACGGCCGTTGTTTGTATCTCCGCGATTAGGCGCGAAATTCACGACGATGTTGCACGCTCTCGCAGCGGAAGACGATTAAAGATAACGATACCTCTTACGATCGCAAAATTTGGAGATTGATTTCCTTCTTTTTTTCAGCATAATCACGAGATATATCGTGTTTATATCTCCTCGTGAGAGTAATTGTACGCCATTAAAATTTAAGAGTACAATAATGTAAAAAATGTCAATAAAATCAAACGCTGAATTAAAAAAAATAATTTATAATGTATTTCGAAAAGATTCAGTTCTAAAAAAAATATTCGAAAAGACAATGATGTGCCTGTTCTCTCTAAAAAAATGCTCAGGAATATTAAAGTTACTAAAAAATTATTAAAAAAGCGAGTATTGTATAAAATGATATGCCGCGATTTCCGACACGAAGATGCCTGTTCTACGACAGAATTAATTATTATTCGCCGTTTTATTTTTCGTAGAATGACATTCGTAGAACGAGTGTTATCTTGAAGCCATCTATTAATCGCCGTTATTGTTGCTCCGTGAAACGTAAAGATTACATCAGGCTTCAAGATAATGCTATTGTTCTAAAACAATCGGTGCTCGTTTAATGACGTTACGAGGCCTGAAAATACGCAGAATTAAAATGTAAAGTGTACGAGTGCTTTAATGTTCGAGCGATCATTCGACAGAGCAGATGCGTATTGATAAAATAATGCGTGCTACTGCTCTTCGAAAAAAAGCATTAGAGCGCATCGTTTTGTCACGATAATTTTAGAATTTGACAGGCGTGGAGCAGTCGATAATTGAGAAGATTTAGAGTCGTTTTCAGATACGACATTAACGATAAAAACGTATAGAATCGAATAACGAAATTAAAACTCGAATTACGATATAGTTATACACAAAACATAATTATATACAATATAATACAAGTTAATATATAACTATCTTTATATAAAAATATATTATATAAATCAATAATTATATATAGCAATAGGTTTTTGTATAACTATAGGTCAATTTTCAATATATTTACAGATAATCTCGCGAAATCATGACTTTTCCAAGACTGAAATTCAATTAATTATCAACCGATTGGTACTAGCAACATCGAGATAATAACTACATCGAACTTATGAACGTTTCACGTGAAGTTCATGAAAATCGTGCGCGGGAAAGCCATGGTACAGGCGACAGTTCACCTCGTACTTCGTCTCGATCAACGATTAAACAAATGATATCGGCCGACGGAAACTAACGGGTCCACACAAGCCCCGAATTTATGGGAATACATCCCGTAACTCTACGTGGCGCCGAATAATTTTCCTAACACGCAAGAGGACATTTTTAGAAACTTACTTTCTCCGCGACAACCGCAAAAAATCGATTCGTTCGACGGCAGGAAGCAAAATCCCTTTTGTCCTTCGCGAGACGGTATTCGTGTGCACAGTTATATATAAATATACTTAAAATTGACCGTGTACTTCGGTGAAAGTCAGTTATCGCTGCGCCAACACGTCCGTTTGTTAAAAGCATGCTGCAAAAGGCGAGTTTATAGCATCAAGAAAGAAGGAACTACGTTGTTTTTTTTTTCGAAAACTTGTCGAAAAATCTCGAAGATAAAACACGCGTAGCACAAAATTCGGCGGGAATATAACGGGCATTGAAGATAAATCCCTGCACGACGAAATAAACGCAGGGTATTTTATCGAGCGAATGAATACGTGAAAATTAATTTTCGCAGCCGAAACGAACTGCTGCACGCGTGGCAATATAGCGAAAAATGTAAACGAAAATTCTTTTCTTTGTATATCACTGAAATTTGACTAGCAATCTTTTCGTTACAAAAGCAGACGGAACGCGACAGGTTCGCGACGCGCTCACGGCTCGTTCACGTCGCAGAACAGGCGTGCGAAGCTTCGCTCGAGTATCGATATATTCGGTATCGTTCTCCAACAAGCCGCGATTTCGCGCTAAAACGGTATATCACGCCAAGGGACTAAAGGAGACCTATCGTCGTCGAGAGATCATCATCATCGTCGTTTTACCATCATCGGGGGCAGTCGGAGGGTATGCACGGGCCTCAGAAGGCCCGCAGTCGTTCCATCTGATCGGGATCCTGGCGGTGCGGCAGGTGGGGCTCGATGCCGGTCGCGGTGGCACCCGTGGCACCCGCGCCGCCCACGTGCCGGCTGTGGTGGCCGTGATGGTGATGGTGGTGGCTGGTCGAGTGGTGCGTGTCGTGATGATAGTGATGATTGAGATGCGGCGGCTGCGCGACCGACCCTGGGCCGCCACCCCGATACGTTCGCTGTTTCTCCTCGAAATCGCGAATCCGCTGGTTGTAACGTTCAAGCTGGTCGCGCAGCAGCGCATCCTCCTCGGCGGCGCGCTCCTCGTCGTACTCGAGGCAACCGACGCCGTCCAGCCTCTCCAGGTCGATCCAACCCCGCCACCTCACGCACACACCGTTCATGATGAGATGCGAGCGCAGGTGTATCTGGAACATCGCCGTCGGGGCGGAACGAAATTGTTATACGGGTTCGTTGCTAACGTCGTGCAATCATATCGCCGTGGATCCTGATGATCGGGATACTCTTGGATGGTCTCGGGATCGGTGGAGAGTTTGATGAGAGGTATTGTTTGGGAAACTTCTGACGCAAAGTGTGTCTTGAAGTGAAATCGTTTTGCGTTGAACATCTCTTGTAGGATGTAGGATTAATTGCAATGAGAATAAGAGTAAGATTTCCGGATTTTCCAATATTGAAATAGATAGCAGATGAATAATTCCTTCGATTCCATGCAATTCTTATTGCAGGTGAAAAAAAGTCTATGATACACGTATCTTGCGTAATAAAATCTTGCGTCCATTGTCACATAAAAATATGAGTTATCAATATATTATTTCCTCTTTTCTCAAAATGTATTATAGATCGCAGTACAATTGACGTCCATTATAATGAATGTCGGAATCGAAAAGATTCGAAGGGCTTAAATATCGTTCTTCCATATAGTTCTTTCCTTATTATCGAAATCATTATTCAGTTTAAAACGATTTTATAGTTTCAAAAATTTTCAATAACTATATCACTGAAGTTTGACGACTCGTTATTTCATCGAATGTCGAGTGTATTGTATTAATTAAAATAATTAATAGCTATTTCAATAGCGCAATGTCATATCTAACAGCTATACTCGCAATTTCAACATCGTTCGTAAATATAAATTAACTAAACGAAGTTTTTGTGAAGTCAATATCTTTGTCGCGACGGAACGGTACCGCCGGATTCGAACGCGTTGCTCTTCCTCGAAGTCTACGGGAGAAAATGACGAGGCGCGTCGATCTCCTCTCAAAGCCGTCATCGGTCGCTCGTTTCGCTCGCGGCAACCGCTCGATCTTCCTTTTTGCGAAATCTACAGTCGGCGCGGGTTGTAGGAGGGCTCCATTACGTGCTCCACGACCCGCAAGTTTCAATCACGCGGCCTCCCCCCTCCCCCACTGTTCTTTCGTCCCCCCCATTCGTGTCCGACAACGGCGAACGTTCGCTTATTTCCGGAGAACGATTACGCAGATTGGAAGGTACGAGGAGGCGCCTCGCGATCCGCCTCGAGATGAAGGGAGAAATGAGACTGAGAGAGGCGAGACTACGTTCCTCGTAAGAAGTCAATTACGAGCAGAAGTAACCCTCGTGTCGATATCGCGTTTGCACAATCCTCGCCGTAAAAACCTGCCGTAAAAAAACTATTACCTCGCATATTTCGATTAGCCGCAATCTTTACGGGAGATTAGAAAACCTAGTCAATCGTGCGCGGTGCATCTTAAAATGTCCAATGGAATGTTGGAGAAACTGCGGAAATTCTATTTAACACATCGACGTGTTAATTCTTTGTTTTTTCAGTTTGATTTAATTATATACTGTAACGTGACAGACATATGAAAAATGGTACGATACAATAAATCCCCGAAAGTTAAGAAACATAAGAAATATAATTTTATAACAATATATAATAATTACGAATAATACAGAATGTTCGGTAAATTACTTATTTACTAGAAATTAAAAAAAGAGAAGAAAATATAAAATTATAGAGACGTTAAAATTGTACGATCTCGATCTTCTGCGTCTACCTGTGTTATTTTCCTGGTTTTATTTATGTCTAATTAATACGGGAATATTGCTGTAGGCGGTGTTTTCCGAGTAGAGTCTAATGGGAGGCTCTCGAAAAGCTGACGATTACCGGGTTCTGCCGCCGACGATGCAACACGGTGTTATTTTATTTTCTGGCAAACGACCCGACTTCCGGTCCCGCCGCCGGAGCCCAGATATTATTACGAGGTCAAGAACGCTCGGGGAAAACCAGTCGAGACCGTGCTTGTAATCCCGACGTAACGAACGGCGACACGCAATCAACGAAATGAGTCAAAGATCTAAACGATCATGGGACTGTGTGTACAATGTCTCATTCTCGATTTTATATAATCAAGGATTTTAACACGTAATTCAATAGTTGTAACATCAATGATAAATAATGTTACAGAAATACAGTTATAGAAATTCATATCACACAGGTATATAAATATATAGATAACATGTCATATTATATCATGTTATATCATGTCATATTATATCATGTCATATTATTTCTATTATTGTTACGCAGTATAATTATTTTCGATATACATAATTAAAACCGTATTTTTCCAAATTAAATAAGATCCCTGAAAAATAAAAGAGAAAGTTATGCCAAGCTATCGTTTGTGTGTTTCTTTTCCAAATTATTAGAGAATCGAATTTTTGTTGGCATACTGACAGCTATACGTTCTATTTACAACGCAATTAATTCGGCGTGAGACTCACGCGAACGAGCGAACGAATGCCCCGGCGGTGGTAAATCGGACGTTACATCTCGTTACATTCTTTCGCACAGCGCTTACAGCTGCGTCTCGCCGACAATGCGCCGCGGGACGTATTTTTATGCAGTAATAATCGAGCCGCGGGGGGTGCGAGCCACGCGGGGTGGCGGAGTCTTAAACGTTTTTCCCTAATCGAATCGCTCGCGGCCCTCTGCTCTCAAAGGACACCGAGTCTCGGGTTTACGTCTTTTGAAAAAAAGCGCTTTTCTGCGTAATCAGCCGAGCAGTTGTTTACGTTGTATTAAAAAAAAATGCAGTGTATAGATTTTTCTGCGTGCCTCTACGCATCCGGATTGATTCTCAAGACGTTGTTATCTCGCGGGCAAGCGCGAAGCGATAAGAGCAGTTCCTGCTCGAGACAGAGAGGTTTTCCCTTTCGCACACGCGATCTTATGCATATTAACGCGCCTCCAGATAAAGCAAGGCCAAATGATTATACATTAAATCTTATGCAGTGCGCATATTAACATAAGTATGAAACGCAAGCAGGAAAACACGTTCGGTCTTTCGACGTATAAGAATATTCATAGCGTACGTGTCCTTTGCACGTTTCTTGGTAAAGGACATCGCGAGCTCTGTTCGTGTTATATTATTTTTAGATGCGACTGCAGTTTTATAAAATGTTATACCTTTTCTGTTTTCAATATAGAGAAATAATTTATTTTTTATAATAAATATTACTTGTAATAAAATTCGAAAGAAACATCGTGATGCAAAACTCTCACGAGTATTCTTCGAGCATTTACTAAAATCGACGATTATAGATTAAAATGCGTGAGAAATTGTTTCCTTAAAAATCGCATGTTTACCGTTTCAGATCGGAGCAACGCGCGTTTCGTAATCGCGGTGATACTGACACCTTTTGCATCTCTGTGGCGTCGCGAAACGAATCGAGTCGAGATATGTATATTCCGAGCGGCAAACGAGACGCGCAAAAAGTCGTCACGAAGATCGGCGAGGAGAGAGAGGAGTGGACGACATACGACGTCGTCATTAGTCATCGCCTTCCTCGTTCTCACGAGGAAAGAACAGTCGGCAACATTTGTTTTTTTTCTCTCTCTCCTTCCGCGCACGGGCGTGACGATCATTATCGTCGCATAATGCCCGTCGTAATAGGCGATATTTAAACTGTAACGCGCGCCGTGTAACCCTTTCTCTGATTTGCATTAGCGAGCGGAAAAAAAGTAAGAGTGCAGAAAAAGGAGAGGAAGAGAAAGAGAGAGAAAGAGAGAGAGAGGCACTAGCGGGCACCGCGAGAAAAGGGGTGAAAAATCGGCGGCAAGGGCGGGCGAAGAACACCTAAATGCCCCGAGACAAACGACCGGCTATTTCACCGGCCCTTTTGTTTCTCGATGGGCGTCGCCAGCAGCGCCTTTTTGCCGCCCGGTCCACTATTCCACCCGGGACCCGTGAATATACCCCCGGAACATTCGTCAACGGTGTATTCCGGTAGAAAGAACGGCGCGCGTGAGGGGCATACGGTCAGCACGGCGCATCGTCCTTTGTCTCTCGCCCAGGTCCAGTTCTATACCCTTAATTTTTACGGATGTGCACAGGATGTGTGTGTGCGTCCCCGGCATCACTTCCGAACTGTAAATTCTCGAAACGGTCCAAGGCTATGTGTATAAATGAAAAAAAAAAAGCATACCCGCTGCGAGCTAAAGGGTACGCATCAGGATTGTTGCATCACCCTGACCCGAGGATGCATAAAAGTCTTCGAAAGATCTCATTCTCGAGTTCTTGTAAAATTTATTTTTCCCCAACATTCTTTGCAATTCCGACCAGATTTTTTTTTAGTTCCATTTTTTAAGCTATCCTTCCATGCTTGAATAGTCCCGAATATTTTGTATTTCAAAAAACAAATTTCTAGGACCAACACTAAAGCGACCAAAGATAATATCGCAATGCTGTTAGTATTTTTTCTGAATTTAACGCCAAAATTTATGTCAGTGAGAGCTTCGTGGCTCTGTTATTATACGCACGGAGAACTCTGTTCTCTTCTTTTGCCTTTTTTTCCGTTCGATGGGCAAAGGGTTAAAAGCTTCGTCATTAAGCTTTCGTCGGGCACCGCACGCGCTCTCTCTATCGCCGCGTTTATCTCGATCGCGAATAAAATCTCTCCTTTAATTATTACCGTCGCCCGACGGGGCACACTCGGTGGGCACAATGCACGCGGGCACGTGTGGTCGCGCGCCGCTCTTTATTCTCTCGCTCATTGTCGATTAAAACAAAAAGAAGGCCCGCGGGTCGTCGCCGTAAACAACATGCCGTGCGCAGGATCTAATGAATCGCTTCCGTTCCATTTCGTTTCCTTTGCAAAAGGAGACCCGAGACGCGAGAGGTAGTAATGCTTAGGAAAAATTTTGGAGTCATAAATAACGTAATAATAATCAATACCGATGTGATAAACGAGAAGATATCAATTGAGCGTTTTTTTTTTAATAGAATAATCAACATGAAATATTTTCAATATTATTTAAATTTTGATTTTTCAATCTCAATTATTTTTTAGTTATTAACTGAATACATATTATGTCACGTATATAGCTTTGAAAATAATAAAAATTCTGAGGAAATAAAAATTGTGAAAAGTTTAGAGAAAATCAGATATTCTATCCGGATGAACTGTGAAAAAAAAATACTGACAAAAACTGCGGATGTCGAAAATTTGGAAAAAAACAGAGATACTATGGAAGGAAAATTCAGCAGGTTACTAGGACTGTTTGTCCGACCTTTGCGAGAGACAGAGAGATTTACGAGCCATTATGTACCGTGTGACTGGCGGAGCAGCTTCGAGGCATCTGGCGGCGTTTAACGGATTTCTACAGCGCTAATTGCCACTAGTGCCGACTAATAGCAACGCGGCTTTTACTTTCCTGTCGTTTATAACAAAGTTACGTGAAAGGATGCCCCCTCGATTACGAAAGATACTCGAATCAGCAGCGCAAGACTTATTTTATTCCCTCAATCTAATAATGAATAATTAAGATGCGCTTCCAAGATTCAGATAGATTAGAAGACTTCTTTACTTTTCTTTTAATTACGAATTTAATAGAAATTACAGTTATGTTAATAGAATTTAATTTATAATATTTAACATTATATTTGAACATTTGTACTGCTAAAGTTTCGGAAAAAATTATGTACAATTAAAACATTGTCAGAAAAAAATCAACTTTAAATTAATCAGAAAACATCTAGATTTAGATGATCTTCAGATAGATTTCTCATGTATTACAATACAGATTGTATAAAAAATACAAACTTATCATTTATAAAATCAATGCAATATAGAGGCTTGCAAAAATTACAGGGAAAGGTAGCGATTGAATAATCTGGAATATGTATTTCGAGGCATCTGCGAAAGGATCAGCGCGCGCATTTTGCAAAATGGCGTTGCGACGACGCCGCTATCGATCGCGATGGCGACGCCGAGAGAGGCGTCGGCCGCGGCGCCGGCGTACGAGATTGCTACAGTCGACGACCTAAAGACTATTTTTGGGGGGAGGATGCAAATTTTGCATCCATTATTCGGAAGCTGCGTTCCTCAATTTAGATCATTTTCCCATCATTCTAATAGCGTTATCATATTCGTCGCTATACATACGTGTTACGTTTAAATCGTCTTGGTTTTTAATTTTCGGCCCGTTTCAGAGACGACAAATTCGTATACCTTCGACACGAAGATAAATTAGACCAGTTTGTCTGGCTCAAACAAGGTCGGACCCCCGTGGAGGGGCCCGAAATTTCTGGGGACCGGATGCGCGGGTGACACGCCGGCGCCATTGTTCGAGAAGTGGCGGCCGGATACTAAATTACGGATGCGAAAGGTTGCACAGCATCTAACGGCCCCTAATTTGCCCGCTAGTACTAACCAATTACGACCGCACGACTCGTATTTGGGAACCGCTTTTCGAGATCCAAGCTGTCGGGGTCAAAATCGCCCGCTGAAAGGCGATTACAACGGAGGAGGTCCGTTTTTTCTCCAGTTTGCGGGATTCGGCAATTTTTGTAAATTTTGCACGAAAAATAATTCAATCTCAAAAGTCACTGGGATCGTTAAAAAGAAATACGCCGTTCTAAAATACTCTTTTAAGTTCGAAGCCGATGATTTTTAAAAAATTTCCCCCCTGTAGACTTTCGCGCGATGTGAATTCTATTTCTTCCGACGATTTAGTTAATTTTTATAACAGGAGGGTATTTAAGAATGGAATTTTAGGTTCTAATGGCGAGGGAAAATACGTTTGTGTAATTGAAAATCGGCTGTGGTCCATCGGGATGATATGGTCGGGATATAATCCACGATAATCGAGACGGTCTTAAAAGAGCCGAGAAGAAGATGTCCACTTACCTTGCCGGGTTCCTTGTCGAAGTCGCAGTCGCTGGGATCGACGGGATAATTTCCGGATGCGCCGCCAAAAACAAGCTGGAGATTGGTGCCCGTCGCCGCGAACGCGATCTCCGTGTGGCCTTCCCGACAGCCATTTTGGAAACGTACTTGACGTTCTTCGAGCGGCCGGTCTCTGTAACCAGTGTATCTCACCTGCAAAAAAAAGCAGAAATAATCGCCGTTAGCAATATACATATTAATGTATGGAATTTCTTATCCGAGGAATTACAAGTGTAAAACAGTCATCAAGATGCAGTGAAGCAAATTAATTTGAATTTTAAAAGATACGCATTTAATTTGCGTGCGTACTTTTAGATTTTACATTTATACTCTTTTCAGATACTACTTTCAATATACAGATTTAATAATATATCTAATGTATCATTATATTTCTAATTTTATCAATGTTCCGTTGAACAGATAATTTTGCAAAAATAAAATACGGAAAATCGATTGAGATATCGTGAATGTCACGAGCACTGATCGAACGATATAATTTTTTAACGATAAAAATTGCCAATGTTTTCTAATAATTTCTAGCGATTCTTGTCAATATAAATTCATTATACTTTTTCAGATTGCTAAGAAAAAATCTCGATGTCTCTTCATTATTGTCCCAATAATTAATAAATTAGATATTCGTAAAGATAACGTATCGAATTCTCGACTGGATTCTCATTTCGAGAGTTTCTCTATGAATCACGGAAATTAAAAACACGAAATGAACACATAGAATACTAATTCGCCGCTCGTGGGTGATCCACAGGTTGAAACAAATTCGAAGAAAGGACGACATTCCTACGGCATCGCGTATTCCACGCCGGCGAGCGACGGGAAATCCTTTGATCCGTGTCGAGATCTCTCACACTGCGCATTGCGCCACGTAATTCGAAAGACATTTCCTCGAGGCATCCGACCGAGATTGATCAGCGAATAGTAAATAAAGAACTTAACGTCGATGTCAAAACAAAGTGATTAGTTCACAGAATTAATAGAGCAGCGATTACACAATGCAATTACTATAAATATCGCTTAAAAGCCTCTCTCGGCATATTATATCATCGTCTCACTTATCCTTCGAAGTAACGTCTTTAAAGACTTAAATTGGAGAGTCGTCACATAAGATTATGCCAACTGTAATATTCATGTTGGCTCGCGTATTTACAAGCAGAATTCAATTCACAACACAACGAGCATTACAGTAACGAAAGTAGTACAGTGCGTCGCGCGCATTTCTTCCGCGTCTTTCCGCGGCGCGGAAACTCACCTCACTTTCGCGGCTCAGCCTTCTGAACAGCTCGTCGCTCTCGAATTTGGCTTTCTGATCCGGCACGACGCGCGGCATCTTAAAAACTAATCGGGTCGGACGTGGTTGTTCGTACAGACCCATGCCGTCAAACGGCAGGACGCCTACGCCGGCGTGCTCACTCATTGCGTGCATCATCTTGGTCGATGCAAATTAACCGAACTTGCTGGACCACTCTATTCGCCTCCTCCTCCTCCTCTTCCTCTTTCTCGCGGAGGACGTCACCGAGGTCCGTGACTGTCACTACTGTTATTAGCTGCCGGAAGTACGCACGAAAGAGATATTTTTGCGAAACGAGCTCCGAAGGTACGCAGATGACGAGACGCGGGGAATCACCTTATTATATATCCTCTTTCGCGATTTTTCACCACGCTCGATCCGCGGGATAACCACGAGGACCACGAGCTCCCGCGAGCAACGATACGAACAATGTGGCGCCTCAGTGAAGACTGGAGCATCAAAAAGCACGCCGAGTTCCCCCACGCCGAGCTCCTCGCTCCTCGCGAGCTCGCGCGCGGAACGCCTCTGGACCGCCCCACAATTCTCCCTCTCTCCCGACCACGGAATCACGGAGCTTCTCCTAGCCAGCCAGCCCGGCTCCCGATTTTCAACCCCATTTCAACCCTCCGGAGCCGATAGATAATCGTAACACCCGAGAGCGGCCAGCTCTCGCACCACCCCGACGCGACGCCGAGGGTGAGAGGAGGGAGGCTTGTGCCCGGCAATCTGGTTTCATGATTTTATAAATGGACGGAAGAGCGTTATTGCCCGCGGTCTTGCGAGTCGTTTATTTTCAAAATGCCTCGAAACGCGCCTTATCTTCTTTTAAACGGAGGGGAGGGGGTGCGGGTTGAAATCGGAAGTACGTATCATACGAGAGCTTTAACGGAAAAGCTCCCGGATGATACAGTTTCGGTAATACTCTACATGAAAAAATTCACTAAATTTGAACGCGGTATGCCGAACGCTTCTGTTTATTTGTATCCTCGTTCAACGATAAAGTGTAATAAATTGATAAATAATAACATTGATAACAGTTGATACTTCATGAACCAATTAAATGATTATTTAACACTCTTTCCATAGTGAGTCAAATTAATATTCCAAGAATAGTAAAAAAGAGCTAAAACATTTTGCTGATGCAGATAGATTTCCATATATAGGTGTCACAACAAAAATGCATCGCTATAAATGTATTTCGTATCTGCTAAAATATTATTTGTTTATATATAGAAATTATAAGCAACATTTTAGCAAGATCTTCTAGAAAATATATATTTATTCGTCTTTCGTCGCTAGTCTTTTCTGCGTAACACAATCAAACTTTACAAACAAGTATGATTGGCCTTAACATGAAAAGGTCACAGAAAAATTTTCTTTCTAATTTCATTAACAGTTCTGATATAAATTCTGTCTCTGTCATTTAGATTGATTAAGTAAATATCTATAATATCACAGTATTTACTAATCATTTATCTACTTCAGTTCTCGCATTTCTCGCAACCAAAAATTTTTACTGTACTTGCAAGACCATTTTTTAAAAGTGTGCATCTTATAGAAGGAAAAACCGACGATTTTTTATCAAAGTAATCTTTCAAATCCGGTACTATAAATGATCCCGAATGATCTTTTGTAAATTAGTCTAGTCAACAAGAGCCATGTAATTCGCATGAGATCCATGTTGTGTTAAGCTATAGTTGTAAGTAAAGTTTTATTACTGCAGGTTCTGTAACGGAACAGGCAAAGTTCTGTTATCAGTTCCTTCCTCGTGCGCATTTTTCGTATCTTTCCGCGGCGGACTCACCTCGGTTTCGCGACTGAGGTCTCTGAACAGCTGGTCGGTCGTGAACCTGGTTCTTTGATCTGTATGAACTCGAGATATACAAAACAGAGAGGGCAGCGGTGCGTACGAATTCTGTGTATCGAACGGCGGATGTACGTACGGCTCGATATACAGCGAGGCGTACGGATCCCGAGTAACGAACGACTGACCCATGGGATGTATTATCCTCATCGACGCAGGTTAATTGCGAAATCTTCTGGATACTCTTTCCGACTCCTCTTTCTTCTCGCGGATGTCACCGAGGTTCGTAACTGTATGTCACTATCTTACTATATAGCTGCCGAAAGATCGTGCTTTTCGGAGCAATGAGCTTCGAAAATATTCAGGTGACGAGAGATCACCTTTCAGCCTCTTTCGCACAATTCACCACGAGTTCGATCCACGAGAGAATCACAAGGAGACACTCTCGCAAGCAACGATGCGAGCAACGATGCGAGCAATGTGCCGTCTCCGTGAAGACTGAAGCGTCAAATTTACATTCCTACAGATTGTCTACAGAGAAACTATTTATTTATATGTCTAAGAACTGTCGGTACTTTTGAATATTTCCACAAGGGAGAAATCGAGAACTGCGTATAGCCAATCAACTTGCAGCGGAAAAGCAGCAATTGTATTGACTGTACAGTCTATACAATTGCTGCTTTATATACGATTCGAAAACTTGGACCGATTTCTAATATATACATATATTGTGGACACAATAGGCTTAGAAGAATAGAAGACAATGAAATTTCTTGCTGGTTTTCTTGAACGACGGCCATAAAATTTTTTTTTTGCGCTCTTGACAATACGAAGGGATACGGACCGTTTAGTTTATCTACAGCAATATACTACAGTAGGATCGGAGAGAGTGGCCGGATTGGCTGGCTACAGTGTCTCTCGCTGGGATACGGGAAATACGTGTCGGACGCAGGGAAGGGAAGATGCGCCCATTTCGGTCGCCGGATGCTTATATGTATAGATAGTATAACACCACGTGTATCCCCTCAAGGGCAGAAATCTTCATCGTCTCTCTCTCTCTCTCATTCTCTCTCTCTCGAGTGGCGGGGCTCATCCATTTGAGAGGATCATTGTCGAGGATCCGCGCGCGATTAAGATCGACGACCCTTCGGCAAGCGCGCGATCTACGGCGTTACCGGTCATGGATATCCATTTATCCTTTTTTCCCTCCCTTTTTGTCCCCCTCCCCTTCAAGCTCTTGAGTGCAGACGATGTTACAGCTTCGATTCTCCGGTTAATCCTGCACTGTTCCGTTCGTCTCCTGTACGTTCGGTACATGGAATTTTCTTTTAAAATTTACTCTGAAAATCATGTTAATCATAAGATAATATCATATTTCGACAAATTTTATGTGATTTCTTCTGTTTTCTTACTGCACACTATACTAAATTTGTTATAATATATATATATTAAACAAAATAGTGAAAATCACATCAAATTCGTCGAAATACTGTGTTGTTTTACGATTAACATGATTTTCAGGATAATTTTTAAAATAAAATTCTCTCCATGTACATTCAAACGAAACAGACGTTTAGATATTTTAATCACAATTTCTCGAATAAAGTATGTTCATTCTATATAAAATATTTTCGCATTGTAAAAATTGGTAAGGCAAACAGCGAGATTAATCCATCAATCACAATAAGTTTTATTACTGATCTTTGTAGCAGCCACATTTTATAAAGTGTTTCCCATTTTAAGAAATTTGAAGTGGTAAAAGAAGGAGAGAGAGAGAGAGAAAGAGAGAGAGATCACAAGGTTGAATAATTGCATGAAAAATTAATGATTGTTCATTCTGTTCTTTCATTGCATAGCATTTCTCGGAAATGATTTATCTTTCCTAATTTGTAGATATAAATCTACAAATATGGAAATTTTGCTGTACATAAGGACGACAAAAATATGTTTTTGTTAGAAATGCAGAAAAATAAAAGTCAAGGTTAAAATAATTTTTTTTTGGCTATTGTTCAGGTAAAACTTTCTTTTGCGTAATAAATTCTCAGTTTATAGAGAGAGATTTTCAATTCTTTCTCCCTTCTTTTAAACATATTATTTTTCATGCAAGATCATACATGCTTCGTTTAATTTCTTTGTTTCTTTACAATACCATTCATATGACAATATCTGCAGTAGGAACATTCGTTTTCTCTTTTACGACACTATCCTGCACAAAATACAAATTTAAAATAATTATCCGTGAAGAGGATTTTTATTCCTTTCTGTTCTCTTTTAAATACCAGCGCCCCCGTGTTGTTCCTTCAAATTCTTATTTTCATGGACACGTAGGTACACATTTAAATGTGATTCATGATATCTATTACATAAAAACAAAATCGAATACAAAATCGATTGCAAAATTGTTATAAAACTCTATACAATTAATATATTTATTTAGTTCCCTAATCGTCGCCCGTGGTCGTTTCCTTTTGAGCGTTCGTTCGCATGAATATCTAAGCGTGGCGTAAGAGAAATTTCACGCGCGTCCCCGAGATGAGCGAATCTCCGCCCCTTGCCGCGCACCATTGGTCCAGCAGCCTCCGCCAATCGCAGCATCCTCCTGCATCCGCGAAGGGAGGAAGTGCACGGTGCACGCACGATGCACACGGGCGCACACGCGCGCACGTGCGTGCGTATGACATATTGTTAGCTGCGTACACATTGTATACGCAGGAGGACGAAGAAACATGGCTCGACAACGGGTTCGTTTTCCTACGCGTACAGACTCTCGAGAGATTAGCTCTTCATCCATTTTCTACTCTCAACGTATATAGTTACACATACGTGCGCGCACGTGTGCGTGTAACTAACAACCTAAATCTCATCTTAACTCTGTAATTTGCAACTTCACTCATAGGCTCTAGGGAAGCCAAAATAAATGCAGATTTATTCATCTTCTGCAGAAACTTATGTAAATTTCCAGAATCCATAATTAAATTTGTGGTCTGCGCATTTCGTATGTACAGTCTCGATTACGAAATTCTGATTAAGCACGCGTTTAAAATTTATAATCGTTGCTGTGTAATGTACAGATAGACTTCAATCAACTATCCGATTTACACTTGCAAACCTTGATATCTATTAGTATCTATCTAATCACCTAATTTATTATTAGAAAAAAATGGTAATTTTATAAGTTTAGAAAAATTTCCAATTCCTTTCACTTTGCATTAAATAGTTAGACATACAGATTTTATTAATTGCATTTAAATTTCTCTCTGTGCGAAAATATCACTTTAAAATATGAAATTTTCTAAATTATAAATCTAAAAATTGTTTCTAATTTTCTAAATATTATTAATTAAGGCGACAATATATATAAATAGTCGTGAAATACATAAAAATCCGCACGCGTTTCGAAGGGCGGCGAAGATCAATATCGTGAACGTTTCCGTTGCCAGAGAAACTTGGGGTACTCGCGCTATACACTGCAAACACCCGCGCTATCAAGTATGCAGGATGTCGAACCGAGGAAGGATACGAAGCGAGGACGAGCTTACCTGGCAACGAAGGGCGTACGAGCGTCACCGTTCTAGGGTGAGCAGTCATGAATTATATAAACATTAATCTCTCGATCCAACTCTGTTTAATATTTTATCGGTCGATATTTCTTTCATCGGATCTCTCTCTCTCGATGAAAGCTCCGAAAATCTAACGGAAACCTCCGTGCTAAAAGTAGCCGTGGAAAGACAGCGCTCTTCGAATCACAAAAGCGATAAAATAAATAATATTCTCGCGCGAGATTGTAGCTCTCTATAAAAATAATTTATATGTCAAATGATATTATTATACATATATTACATTCGTGTAATTTTTATGTTATAGGTTTAAAAAATTCTAAATAATTATGTTGTATTAAAGACAGTTACACATATACATAATGGAAATTTTGACTTCGAGGTTTATTCACTGATTGTGAGTTAAATGTTTTTTTTCTCCTACCTCTAGACTTCACTTTTATGACGACACAATCTTCTCAGATAATTTACGATTATCCTCGTCCTCGTTGCTTTGCAGGTGAAAACGGCCAGACCGACGGTGGACGTGAACCCGCCGGTGGGCAGACCTCACGTCTCGTTCAACGCGAAGAGACTGCAGCTGGAGCGCGAACGGCAGGCGCGGATTCTCAGGGACAATTTCATCCTGCTGAAGAAACTCCGCGAGATCATGCACCGGAAACGACGAGTCGCGGAGGACACTCAACGGGTCCAATGGCAGGAATCTCGATGCGTCAGGGTTCGTTAGGAAGATGAGAATTATGGATATCTATTTGCCATTGTATCGTTCGCGATTTACATGTGTATGAACACGTCTTTTGTATTTTTATGCGCAATTACGAAGAGAGTAGCACGCACTCATCTAATCGATCTCTAACAAATCTTTTTCTACCTTGATGCAATCATTTATCTCCGCCCCGCTATGGATTTCTATAATAAATGTTTTCATAATTAATATTTCCAAAACTGCATTTTCATCTTTCCTGAACAGTGTCTCGAAGTCGCGAGATGACCAACAGTTTGTTGAATTAATAATGCAGTTCTCATTACAATTTACATAATCGTAAATTATCTGAGAAGATTGTGTCGTCACAAAAGTGAAGTCTAGAGGCAGGAGAAAAAAACATTTAACTCACAATCAGTGAATAAACTTCGAAGTCATAAGATTTCCATTATGTATATCTCTTTATTTTTCTAAAGATAAATATACGCAATATTTTTGAATTATCGGAATATAATATTTAATCTGTATCGATACATTTCGTGTAATGGATTTAATTCAAATTTCAATCGTCTGTGATTCAATTTGCCGAATCAAAGCTGTAAAGCTATTATTGTTTAAAATTCACGTCGATACCGATTTGTCTCTCATTGGTTTTCAAATTCCAGTCGATATTGTCCGATGTATCGTTATTGACGTTATTAACGCGTCAAGGAGAAAGGTTAGAGTTTTGCAAATAATATCACATTCTTTTAATGTAATGTAAGCGTCTCTTACATTAACACATCTTACAGATTTATATATATGTGTCTAGCTATTAGAAAATTTTATACTCATAATATATTACACCTAACAATAAATATATAAACTTGAAATTAAGTTAAATGCTGATTAATTTTCCACCATCTCATTGATCTTATCATTAATAAAATTAATTATGCAAATGATCAAATATTTCTATTAATGCTATAAATGATAGCCTGAATAAATTCAGTATGCGTGCATTTTTATCCCTCGATTCGAGTAAGACTAAATGGAGGAAGAAAACTACGATGAGGAGAAATCCGAGGATAAGCTTGATGAAGAAAAGGACTACGGCGAAGCGGACCAATCCGGATATGAATCAACGATTTCGGACGAAACCGAGCATACTACGCGCGTGCTGACACACGCCGAGGCCGGCGAGTGTCTCTACAATTTAGGAAAATGCGAGGGGGACGAGTACGCCTATCTCAGCCTGGACGCCTCGGACAGAGATCTTACTGATATCGGCGTGATACCATCCTTCAAATACGTTCGTTACGTGAACGTGTCGGGGAACAGATTGACGTCGGAGGCACTGCGCGCGCTCGAGGCGATGCCGTATCTGCAGACGCTGCGGGCGGACCGAAATCGTCTGACCAGCGCGGAATTAAAGCCGATGCCGTATCTACAGGTGACCCGCTCGCCCCTTGACCCTCGTTTTCTCCTTAACGGGGATTAAGCTTAGTTAACCGAGAACCGCCGCGACCGCGCGTAACGACAGATCCGCCGCCTGCAATAAGACGATTTTAAATGCGTATACAGGAGCTCGCCCTGAACCAGAACAAGTTGACCGACACATCCGGCATTCATCATACATCGCTCGAGCGTCTGGAATTGAAGCACAACGACATTCGCACCGTGGACATGGATCCTCGGATCCTCGCGAGCTTGAGGACGCTGGAGTTGCGCGGCAACGCGCTGGTCAGCACCGCAGGTGAGACGCGCGCAAAGACGAGACGCGCCCAGGACCATTATTTATCTCCCGCGAGATTATACCGTTTGCCGAGGACGATCGTAAAAATCCGGGCGAGAAATGCCAAGCCGCTCGCACGGTTCACTAGAGCTCGTTGAAGCGGGGAAGATCCCCCGGTGGCCAACTCGACTTCGACTTCGCGGAATGGACTTCGCCCGAGTAACGTTTGAATCTCTCGCAGGAATCTGCTGTCCCAGTCTGACGCGGCTCTTCCTCGCCGAGAATCAAATCGAGAAGATCGAGGATTTTGGGACCCTCGTGAACCTGAAGACGTTACATCTGCGAAGTAACAGGCTCGCGAACTTGGACGGTTTCACCGAGCGGTGTCGCAGCCTGAACTACGTGAATCTGCGCGATAACGAGCTGCCGAGGATTTCAGAGCTGAGAAAGCTGGACTGCCTGCCGAACCTGGAAACGCTTATCGTTCTGGGGAATCCTCTCCTCAGAGAAGAGGCGAAAGAGGAAGAAGGGAAAGAATATCGGCGGGTCATTCTGGCGATGCTTCCGAAATTAAAGAGGATCGATAAGGATCCTGTGCTAGATCAGGAAAGGAACGAGGCGAAGGCGTTGCTTCAAAAGATACCATAAAGAGCGAATCCAATTTTGTAGACTTTGATTTAAGAAATTAAAGATATTTTTTATATTGAATATTTTAAAGAGATTAGTATTTTATCCCCCAAATATTTGAAGACACAAATTCATATTTCTAATACATTCTTGGTTCCAACAGGATTTTTCTAAAAGGTGATTTCTAAAAAGAACTTTTCTTAGTCAATTATCGTTATCGTTATGTATTATATTTACAATGTTTGATCAATTATTTATTTATAAAACAGATTTCAATTAACGTTCCTCCCTATTTTTGTATTATTAATTTAAATTATATTAATTGCCTACCACAAATTTTGATACAGATATTATAGATAAAATAACTTTTTTTTTGTAATTTAGCTGTATTGAAAACAAGTCACATTAATATAATTCAATGACTCGATCAGTAAAACTCTACTTAACGAATAATATATATTTTATTTGAAAGACACTGGAGCTTTTTTGGAACAGAATGTTGCGATAATTTACAGTGAGAGGAATCCGATATTTCTTTGGCACCCCTTACAAATTCATATAATACCCTTCGCCCCTTACAATCCATAATACCAAAATAACCAACTCGCACCATCTCGCAATAATATGTAAAACTACATCTCGCGATAGATGCAGTACCGACGTATTTTCGGGACATAGTTCAGATGATAATTCGTGTACAAGTGAGGTTCAATGAATCGCTGGGTCACTAGATTGGTGATTTTACCGACGTGTCTGATTTGTCAGTAAAATTGTCGGTAAAATCACTAGTCTATGTGACCCTGCAATTCATTGCTCCTCTGTACATAAATAATCATAATTTAATATAATATAATGCCAAATCTCATTATGTTAAACTATGCTTAGTTAATTAATATCAAATATTGTTTACGTAGGGCAATAAACCCTTTCGTCATTGCAACGCGCGTTTGCGGCTTCCCGTCGCGGATCTGCGCGGATCCTCCATTTTCTCCTAAAATCCATTCCACGATTGCACGAATAAGTTATCCGAGAAACAAAACAGTTACGCTTCGAGAAATCTCGTAATAATCGTTATTCTCTGCTCGACATACGAATAGAATCAGAATAATCAACCGCTTTTTCATTGCCCGTTTCGCGTTTCGAACACGATGGTCGCTTGATCTCGTTCACGCAAGGCGATCGCGAGACGGAGAAAACGGCCGATCGTATCGCAGCGTTAACACCAACATCGAGTCCGTTCGTCGAGTATCAATAATAGTGCACAAACATACCTCTCGACGGCAGTTCTCTCCGGGTGCTGTTTCCGCGTCCATCGAACTCCCGCATTTTCGCGAACAACGGGTGCCGCGCGCGCGCGCGATGAGAACCGAGAACTGCAGTGCGCGGCGCGGTCGCGGCGACGCGTCGCGCCCATCGATAATCGAATCTCGAAGTATCTCGATTCGCGACGATCTCGCATTCAGCGCTCGGAGCAACGTTTTTTTCGTGGAGGTACCGGCATCGTATAGGTTAGCTCGCTCTCACGTTCGAACGTTCGCTCTCCCATTTGCCTTCCGCGCACCGACCCGAGTGACACGCACTGATCCATCATGTGTGACAAGCAGCCGTACAGAATCGGTAAGTGGCAAGTGGTCCGCGGACGGACGACACGAACGTGCGAACGGCAGCAGTGATCACGGGAGTACCGCGGCCGTTCGCGGACACGTGCTCGCGCGCAACCCGTTGATCGGAGCAACGTGAAGTACCCGCCGTTCCGAGCCGAGTGATGGCACGAGCGAGCGCGCGAAATGTTCGATATTAGCTGCGCGAGCGTGTCGAGGGATGTAATTGTTTATATATTAAAGGATTACACGCTAAAAAATAATGAAAACCTTGAGTTTAGCCTTCGGCGGTTTGCTAATCGATTTTTTTAAACGTCCGACGTTGTCGTTGAAATTTTTACAACGCCGGTGCGATAAAATAGAAAAATAATTATTTTGCTGTAATAACATCTGTAACAACGTAATAATATCTGTGCGTCACTCCGCATATTTTCTAACATTGTGCCATTGTATTTTGTAACAATACATATTTTTCTTTTGAATTTTCTTGACTCCTTTAATAATCGAGACGTAATCAGAAAAAAATATAATCTTATATATTTTTATATAAATATATATAATTTTAAATATAATAAATATTTATATTAAATGGATTCAAATGGAATTAAATTTTTGTAAAATGGAGTGTATGTGATGTTAATATAATAGCCTGTTATATTTGATGATAATGTATAATCCAGTTTATATTTAATCAAATATAAATAGTATAAATTATATATATTTATATGTTTTTAAATATTTATTGACAATAAAAGACTAGTTTTGACGACCACGATTTTCCCGACTTAATTTGAAGTTAAATTCCTCGACAGCCGACCTTTCCCTGGCGGAATGGGGTCGAAAGGAGATCACCCTGGCAGAGAACGAGATGCCGGGGCTCATGTCGATTAGGAAGAAATATGGGCCGTCCAAGGTGCTGAAGGGTGCACGCATCGCCGGCTGCCTTCACATGACCGTGCAAACCGCGGTGCTGATTGAGACCCTGGTGGAACTCGGCGCGGAGGTGAGCGCTAGGAAGCCTAACGCTTCTAACGGGCTTAATTCACGCGTGTATAATTTGATTTGTAGCGATAAGTAGTGACAGTAACGCCGATAGAATTTCACGCAGCTGTTTACTTGACTGGCGAAAGAAACTGGTGAAGATAAACCCATGATTTACACATGAATGTTATCGTCGTTGACCCTGCGATCTCTCTCTCTCTTTTTCCTGCAAATCTGAACACATTCAGTCGAAAACTTTTTTCCCTTGACATTATTCAGTAGTAGATTTTCATTCTGATATATGATGACTAAATGAATAAATGTGAATACGAGAAAAAAGATCTCTTTGCGTTTCAAAGTCTCTCGTTTAACTTGGATATATTAATCTTTTACAAGAATCTACACATCTTGAATCGATTCCTTATCTTTGAAGTTTTTTTCCTATGAATTAATATCTAATTCTAATTGTGAAAATTATTCATATTAAAAATCAGAATTATACAGCGATTTTTCAAACTTCCACAAATTAGAATTATATGTTGTTAAAAAAGTGTTATATAAATCTATTTTCAATAATTCAATAACCTTCACGGCAATTTATATGACAATATCAAAATATAATTCAGTTTTATATTTTTGTTATTATAAAGCATCCTAAAAATAAGTTCCGTGTTAAATGCCCAGACATTTAGAAATCTAATACCTGAAACCGAATTTTTTTTTTGACAATGTCATTTTTCTACTGCAGGTGCAATGGTCATCCTGCAACATATTCAGCACGCAGGATCATGCGGCAGCGGCAATAGCGAAGGCTGGAGTGCCGGTGTACGCGTGGAAGGGCGAGACCGAAAGCGAATATATCTGGTGTATTGAACAGACCCTCGTGTTCCGGGACGGCAAGCCGTTCAACCTGATCCTCGATGACGGCGGCGACCTCACTAATCTCGTGCACACCAAGTATCCGCAGTATCTCAAGGAATGCCGCGGCCTGTCCGAGGAGACCACCACTGGTGTGCACAATCTCTATCGCATGATGAAAGACGGTACGCTCAAAGTGCCAGCGATTAACGTCAACGATTCCGTCACGAAGGTTTGTACATGCTCGCGGCAGCAGATTCATGATAAATAAATTAAACATGATAGATAAATTTACGAAATTACGGATAAGCTATCGATATGGAATTGACACTTTGGTGTGTCAATAAATTAAAAGAAAATATCGTTAACGATTAGAGTTGAATAATCATTCGCGCGAATTGAGATAAATTGTGGGATTACGCAAAATAACGACAGTGACGAAGGAACTGATAAACAGATGATAAGTGAATCGTAGATGCGTTAACACTTGCAGAAATCCTGACGCAATGCATGACACTGCACTTCCAAAAACAAACACTTATATTTCACATAGTTACACTTTTGCAATATAAATGTTTTTCAAAAACCTTCGTTTTTTTAGATTTTTGTTAATTTAATCCTTGTCATTTTTATTTTGAACAACATTTATATTGCAAAAGCACTTCGTTTTTTAGATTTTTTTAAAATGTAATCCCTCATTTTTATTTTAAAAAACATTATATTGTAAAACTTCGTTTTTTAGATTTTTATTAATTTAATCCCTCTCATTTTTACTTTAAAATGACCACTAACTTGGTCTTATATGTTTGACAGAGTAAATTCGACAATTTATACGGATGCAGGGAATCGTTGATAGACGGTATCAAGAGAGCGACCGACATCATGATCGCCGGTAAGGTTTGCGTGGTGGCCGGATACGGAGACGTGGGTAAGGGATGCGCGCAGAGTCTCAGAGCTCTCGGGGGTCGCGTTATCATCACGGAGATCGACCCTATCAACGCGCTACAAGCGGCCATGGAAGGATACGAGGTAACAATCGGAAAGCATATATCCGATCAATTGTAAAATTGCGTCAAATTGTCTCGGTTACTGATTGCGCGTCATTACACCACGTCATATCGCAAATTAGAATTGTGTCGTTTTCACGGACCGTCGTCACGGTTTTACGACGAGATTAATAAATACCTGTAAAATCTGCAGGTGACCACGATGGAGGAGGCGAGCACGAAGGGCCAGATATACGTGACCACTACGGGATGCAAGGACATCATCGTGGAGCGTCACTTCATGAACATGCCGAACGACGCCATCGTCTGCAACATAGGGCACTTCGATTGTGAGATCGACGTCGCGTGGCTGGAGGCGAACGCCGAGAAGACCAACATAAAGCCCCAAGTGGACAGATATAAATTGAAGAACGGCAGGTGTGTTTCCGCACGCTGAATCGAATAAGCTGTACCCCCTTTCGATAAATACGAATTAAATCACGCTCTCGTATTTCAGGCACATCATCCTTCTCGCGGAGGGTCGTTTGGTGAACTTGGGCTGCGCGATGGGTCACCCGAGCTTCGTCATGAGTAACTCGTTCACGAACCAGGTGCTCGCACAAATCGAACTCTGGACGAAGTCGGACCAGTATCCGATTGGCGTGCATATGCTGCCGAAGAAGCTGGACGAGGAAGTCGCCGCGTTACACCTGAATCACTTGGGCGTGAAGCTGACGACTCTCACGTCAGAACAGTCCAAATATTTAGACGTGCCCGCGGAAGGACCTTACAAGCCCGATCACTACCGATACTAGTCGCCATAACTCGCGTGCGTGAAAATTTGTAATAGAACAATTGTAATAGAACAACTAATTCAATTGTTATTGTAATTATACAATTGATTTTGTATGGCATTTTTGTTTGACCGATTAAAATTGTTCTCTTTTTCTATGCCGATCTCACGTAACAACCTCAAACAACGACAATAATTTGTAAATGTCTAATTCGAATCTAATCTATATCTTAATACCGTAAAATTCGTTTGTTTTCATCGATTTACTTATCTGATTAATCATTTTTTCGGACAATTGATAAAGTTATCAATAATACGTAGAATAAAAAGAACTTTATTTTTTTCTTCGTAACAATAACTATCACAGCTCATGATTATGTATAGTTTCGTCTACCTTACCTAAATCTTAAATAGCACTGAATTTTCCTGCAAACAGTGACAGCCGCAGCCCGTGGGACATACTATCTCCTTAGCGAACCACGCCGCCAAATGCTCGATGTGTCCGCCGTGGCCGCAAAACATGCAAGAGTTGCTCGCACCTAGATTTTTTTCAACAAAAAAAAAAGACGACGCCTTTAACTTTATTTCAGATTAAAATACTCCGTGAATAGCAAAGTACTCCAAAGGGCGCACGCACCTCTGACTGTAACGTGGCAAACAATACACTGGAAGCTCAATCCCTTGCAATTAGCGCACTGCGGGCCCGGGCTGATCTTGCCGCAGATTCGGCACTCGTTCTGCAGCTCGACGTCCTTCTGTACGCTGAGCGAGGACGCGCTCAGGTGTTTCAACACGTGCGCCCGCGCGTCCAGCAGCTCCCACCTGTGCAACGCCTCGGCATACGCCTTCTTGTAACCGTCGTACAACGCCGTGTATTTATCATCGAACAATCTGCATAAGGACATTCACATATCACAGTCCGAAATACACATTCGCGTAAGCAGAGAAATTTCGAAAGGCATTTCTAAATTTAAACAGACGACATTTAAATCGCCTCCCACTTTTTCTGCGATACTTTTCAAACATGCTGGTACTATGTATACTCCTAGAAACGTACTTGTTCTTCGCCGTGTCCCCAAAGTCTTGGATGACTTTCAAATCGTCCAAAGACTCCGACCACGAGTTCGAGCGGTGTTGCTTCAGATTCTGAAAATTCCATCCCTCTAACGTGGTGTCCGCCAGATGTATCGTGTGATAAGGCGAACCGCCAGGCTGCGAGAAACATATTAAATGGAATAGATTCACAATTGATACATATATACGAATTACATACGAGGTATATATATAATACACACGCACACAGCACACGCACAATAATTAACATTAGCATTTGTACTGACGATTATTTGTTTGTATGAGGTATAATTGATTACGACAAACAGCACATGTCATTTAACCACTAACTGCGATTTGCTACTTTCACAAAAATAACGCGTTAGTACACACGTTAGTTTTATTTTTCTGTTTTTCTTTATCAATCGCGTCCATAAAAGTAATGCAACGCGAAATATTCGTAGCTAAATATTCTCTGAGCAGTCGCAGTGAACAAACGCACTTGGTGGTAATATTTTCAGTCCGATGCTGAGGACGAATACAAGATAACGATTGTACAACAGAGAATCCTAAGAACCAAATCCAAGACTCCGAACTCTTTGTGTTAACGAAACTCGGAAAAATCTTACCTTTAACCACCATTTTCCTACGGAAAGCCTCTATAACAAACGTAACATTGTATCGTTAGCAGTGATATATACATATAAAATAGAAAAAGACATACGCCGGTACAGTATTTTATATCTATTGCGCGAAAGATTACAATTTTAATTATCGTACATGATTAAAAAAATTCTCTGAAATTTAGCTGAATAGTCTTCAATAGTTTTAACGTACAACATACTTTCCATTAATATCCGTTTACGATCAAATATGCATACCGTACCGCCGTATATTCGCGTCAAATTGTACAAATTCCATATCACTTTAAAAAAGAAAAAAAAACGTTATATGTTCCCTCGTGCATCGGAAGAAAGAGACACTGTGCTGTGCAAGTCTCCATTCTCCAGCCTTAAATACTGAGGAACGCGTATGCAGATTAGAAAGCGAAAATATGATCGGTGAACACGTGTGTAATGTAATTTCTCCTGTCTGCTTTGCGGGAAAAAGTGATTTTCCCGATCAAAATGCCAATCCCCGTCATGAGGAGAAATTTTCAAGTGTCACACACACAACTTGCGCGCTTTTTTGCTCTTTCATACAAATTGTATGTACTTACACTGACGTTCACGGATTTGCTGGTCAGCCTGGTTTGCGAAGCGTCCGTGTTCTCGGATCGGTAGCTAAGAGCGCAGCTCATCATGCCGGCCATCTGAACATCAGACTGCTTAGCGTAATGTTGTATTCTAAATAGATAAGAGTAATTACATATGGAGCAAATACATCACGATCGATTGATGACAGTTAAAGTAATCGATCTACGGAAAGATCGCATATTTAAGTTGAAATGTTTTCAAATAGATCCTTTTAAAGTCTAATACGTTTAAAAAGTTAATACATAAACTTCATTAACAGCAAGTATTAATTTAAAAATTACATTCTGTTATTCGATGTTTAATATTGTTTCGATTTAATGTGTTTCCTTTCGGAATAAAATTTTAATTATTATAATTATAACAAAATCGGAAAGAATGCTTACAAGAAATGAATTAAGTTTTGTCCCCAGGGATGTAGAGCCCATGGGGCATTGATGTCGGGAGAATGACCCGATTGGCAAGAGTTCTGCTCAGCATTGGATGGCTGCGAAATGATTAAACCAGCTAAACACCACGTCTGAATCAAGTCAGGCCTTTCCAGGGTAGCGGCCACGTTTGCATTGTGTTGATACATGACCGGAATGTCAGCGGTATTGATTCTGAAAGGAGATAAAATATATTTCCATAGATTTCTCAAACGTCACGACGCCTTGCACGTGTACAATAGCCGTACTCACGTATATTTCTCGGCGAGCTCCTTATTGACGAAGAATAATGACGAGACATCGTATATCATAACCATCGGATGACAATTCTTGAAGTACGATCGATCGTGCATTCTACCCGCGCCATGCAATCCACGTCGTAGGTCCTTCTGCTGATAGTATCGCGATTACACGGATAGCTACGCATATTATGACACGCGCGTATATTTGTACTCATTTTTATCGATTCAAATATTCCTTACACGATCCTGAAAGTAGTACGAGCTGATAGACATGTTGTCGTTAGTTGGCGCGTAGGAACTCCGGTACATAGGCATGAAAGGCTCGCCGTTACCGATGCTACTGTCCAGGGCGGACAGCGCTCTGGGTGTCGCGTCGCCCGGTTTTATCGACGATCTTCTCGCATAGGAGAGACGGCCGAAGCAAACGAGGATACCTGTTCGGCAAACGAAATTAGAAAAATGTTGAAAGTTGAGAGATGAGAGAGCGCATTACGCACCTACGCAGCAAAATTTGGCGCCGGACGTTCTGGGAAACGGTATATAGGAGTCCTGATAGTTCGCGCAGAGATTGGAGGAGCTCAGAAAGTTGCTGTTATCCTGCATGTGGTACACCAAGTGACCGCCCTCGTCCTCGTCCTTCTTGCACATCTGTCGAGCGCGGCGCAAATCAGAATTTTTACATTTCGAACGCTAATCGTCAATTCGAACAGGAGAACCCGAACTTACTTGCTCCAAAGTTATATTCAGCTGCCGAAGACACGGCTCCAAGCACGATCTGTTCTTCTTGACGCGGTGCTGAGCGGTTTGCACGAGAACCTTCAGCAGCTTGGTCATCGTCGCGCTGTCGATCGTCGTGCCCGGGCAAAACTGGAACGTCGGTTGCGCGCTGCACGGATAATTCACCGGGAAATTCACTTTTAATATCACATTGTAGTTCTTTGTACACGCGGTTATCGTGCAGCTCCTCTCCACCACGTCCATCGCGTTCACCTGAATCGAAACGCGAGCGTTAGCCGTCTCAAATCATTCCGGTATCGCGCGCCGGTCTGTAAAGCGATGCGTCACCTCTATATTTGGTATATTCATGTTTATCAGGGAAAACTCCTGCTGCAAACTCTTTGGCTGAGTGGGAGACGAGACTTTTTTAGAACTGTCCGGAAGGCTGATCGTCTCAGACTGCGGCACAGGCTCGTCCACTTTGGTAATGTAGTTTATCTCAGGCTCGCTCGGAGAAGTGTTCAGCTGCAGTTCTTGGACGGATTGCAGAGTTCCTGCAGAGATATTTCTTGTACATAGAAGAATTTTATCACAGAAATACCACAATGTATTCTACGTACTTAGATTACTCTCTTCGGAATACTGACTGTAGACTGACAGACCATCGTCCATGCCGTTGCTGCACAACTGAAAATAAGAAACATTTCTGTTGCTCGCAATTTTTATAATTCGTAAAATTGTGAAAAAGATATATATACATAAGTCGCTTACTTTCTTTATAAACGGGCTGATTTTAAATATCCTGAGACACTGATCCTTGGACCATGTAACGAGTTCGAACTCGCTGTTTTCTACAAGCACACACGAACAGAATTAAAACGATGTACAATAATTTCTTTATATAATATGCCTTCAATTTCTTAATATAATTACCTAGTTTCAAATGCCGCCATTGAAATTCGAGCACGACGTCCGTGTGGCCCGCAAACGTATATATCGGTGTATTGAAGTTCGACGTGTTCCATAGTAACAGACTGTTTTCTCCACGTCGTAATTGCGGTACTACTATCGTCACTAAACCCTCCCCAAAGGGCTGTAAACAGATTTACGGTTGACGCGAATCATAGCGAAGTAGTTGCAATAAAAATCTATCTAAATTCTATATCTACGCGTTCCTACCGTGTATCTTGCTCTCCACACAGGAGAATTCGTCGTCAAAATACTATCGGCCCTGCGCGGATTAACGATATCGAAGATCTTGACGGTGCAATCTTGACTCGACGTCGCCAATTGATTTTGTTGAAAGGGGCACCAATCTAAACCATGTATCTAAAATTTGACTTTGACTTTGGACACTTTCTTACGGAAGTCATTCGAATTAGCGCGGCATGGCTGTGTCGACATACCTTCGTCAAGTGGGCTGTTATATACTGCACAGGGCTCGTTGCCTTCCGTTGGTCCCATATCTTGACGTCACCGTCGTGCGCGGTGGCCAAGGTATGCGACGACAGCGAATTCCAACGTACCTGGGACGATCCCGCTGAGAAAAAAAAAGGAACAATTATTTTTCCACGGTCGAGAAAAAATCTCCAGCATAACTTCTGCTTCATCTAACCAACTGCTTCATCTTACCAACTGCAGACAGCGACAAGCATGGTTTTCTCTGATCTCGTATATCCCAGATATGTATAAACGTGTCGATGCTGCAAGAGGCGATGATATCCGGCTCCCTGGGATGCCAATTCAAATCGCTAACTACCCGCGTGTGGGCTTTCAGGCTCTGCGAGGTCTGCAACTCGAATCCTCCCGCTCCGTTGAAATTCAATATTTCGATTCGCGTGTTGCTCTGAAGAGAAAATTATTCCAAAGTAAGATATTTTTCCATGTATCTTCTCCCACTAGTTTCTTTGATAACCGATCTAATTGACGATATAAGCGTACACATTTTTGCATTAAAAACAGACAGGAAACTTACAGAAATTGCGCACAAGTGGCAATTCGAATCGCACGGGTTCCATTCGGCGGAGCCAACCTCGTACTTGCTCTGTCGCTGAAACTTCTTCACCGTATTCACGTCCTCGTCCAAGTGTTTCACCGCCAAGTATCTACGTCTAGATAAGAGACCGAAAGAACACAATTCTTGTATTTATATGTAAAATCAGTAACAGCATATTATTTAAAGCACAGTAACAAATTAATCAATATTTTTTCCTCGCGCAAAACACGCGAGTTTCACGAATATATAAGACGTCTTTGATGTGATCTTTCTGTGCCAAAGACTTGGCCGACAATCATTCATGAACCAGCAACTGTTAGTAAATATTTGTCGCGGATGATCGTCGATTTACGAGATTGAGTCACTTACCCGGCCAACAGAACGTAGTTACCGGTCGCGTCCACTGCCATGGTGTTGGCCTAAACGAAAAAGCGAGATGAGCACTCATTTCTCCGGCGCAATGATAACCGTTACCTCGGACAAGAGAAGTCACGCGGTGCTTTCTCGACTAACCTGTAAATCGCGGTGCTCCGTGACCACATAGTCACTGTTTCGTTTCGACATTTTGACTTAAACAGACTTTCACAGGCTCCTGTCCGCGAGACAGGCTGTCACTCCGTCCTACATCGATCCTGCCGTTGGTCTACGTCGGTCCTGCGAGGTTAGGATCGCACCAAATAAATACAGCTGCGACCCGAGCGACGCGCGCGCCACGGGTTACATCGCCACTTACACACGAACTCACGCATGCACCGCAGAATGCTTTATATACACACAAAAGATATGCTTTAAAATAGCCCTCAACGAAGATATTGAAAGATAATATTTGGTTATTAACAGGATAATGCTTTAATTATTTTCTCGTCTACATCCAATTTGTTGGCATGTCTGCGGCCTCCAAAGTGTTATACATTTAATACTTTATACATATCTATATCGCTCTTTGTAAACGTGTTACGCTTATGTTAATTTGGAAAAGTTTTATTGAATTTTTAAATTGGACGGACGAAGGCCCAAGAGATAAAAGAAACTACAGCAGTTCCAATGGAATTTCGTGTTAAATTAAAATTTATACGCCTGCAAACTTCGCTCGTCTTCCCCTCTCCCCGCTCCCTCTCTTTCCAGATACTTTGACGTTTCAACGCGTGCAGTCGTCGTCCTCGTTTTTAAACGCAGGGAGTGCGGGAGACCGCGGCCGCGAGAGAGACTCGATGTGTATTCCGTTTTGGACAAAAAGAAACAAGCTCCCCGGTCACGGTCTCGTACACAGACACACACGCATACGTACGCACGTGACCGCTTACGGGCGCGCGCGCGCGCACCAGAGGACGCGTCTCACGATCACTCTCACGCGCGCGCGCGCCTCGCTGACGTAACGCGATTGGCTGCGCGCGTACGCGTCTCCCCCTCGCCTCGCTCGCGCGGCGGGGGCGAGCGAGCGAGACCGCGGATGGCCGAGAGAGGTAGAGGGCGCGCGTGCGAGCGAGAGAGAGCGATACGACATCCCGCCGTTCAGCCCCCCCCCCAAGCCCCCGCGCTGAGAGTCCCCGCTGACTATTGCTATTTCTGTCACGTACGTACAGAGAAACACGCGTGTCTACGTGTGTGTGTGCGGACTCCGTGGGCACGTAGAGATACATATACATACACACTTACGCCGTTGCGTCTCTATGTGTGCGGTGAACGCGCGCTGACACCGAGTCGCAATTAGAGTTGGTAAACTGGTCGGACTTGCCGCGCGAGGAAGGTCGAGCTGCATCGTCGGGTGTTGTATGCGGGACGGATTACCAGCGAAATCGACAAGTGCCATCGCGGTCCAAGGAGGAGGAGGAGGAGGAGAGCAAAGTTGTTCCGCGGCGGTGACCGTGATAAATACTACTACGTATTCAGCAGCGAGCGCGACAATGTCCGTGTTTATGGATTGTTATCGTCAGTAGCGGGCTAACGCTACGCGTGAGGCATTTGTGTCTTCTCGACAGTGCGTATATATACATCTCCGTCTCTCTCTCTCTCTCTTCTCTCTTTCCCTCCGCGCGCGAGAAGGAAACTGGCCACCCGCGGGCTGAGCATCTGACGTCTCCTGTCAAATTCGGGAGAAACTCCGGGAAAAACTCCTGCGTCCCTCCGCCGCTCCTGTGCGCTCTGTTTAACGTGCGTGCGCGTGTGCGAGCGTGTGTGCGTGTGTGTGGAGCGTCCGTTCGCTCGGCCTTCGCCGAAGAGACGTTTCATTTTTCCCTCCGAGCTCAGTCTCGTAATCACGAAGAAAGAAGGAACGCGCCTTTGTTTATCGGCGGATTCGTCGCATTCGTCGCGTCGCGTCGCGTCGCGTCAACGCTCAACTCTCTCTCTCTCTCTCTCCCGCATCTCGTGTGTGTCCCGTGTTCTCTCTCACTCCTCTCCCTCCTCTCGTATCAAAGAGCGGGCGGCGCACGTAGGACAAATACCTCATCTGTGTGTGCGCGACTCCCCGGGGGAGTGAAGGACCTTGATCTCGCGCTCGCCGTGAGCCCGCAACTGGAACTCGATCGCCTTTTCCCCCAAATCCTTAACCAGCTATCTGTAATGTGCAAGTTCAGCAACGAAGCCGGGAAGACCAGTACGTCGACAATTAATCTCGTACACTCGAAAAGGAAAGGAATCTTCATACACATAAAAGAGATGCTCAACGACCCGATAAGTCCGCGAAGTCAAAGAAGCTACCTGACGTTTCGCTTGCACTGAACGGGCCCGGTCGTCGAGGAATCTGAGCAAAACTTATCCGAGATTCGCCTGAACAGCGAGGACCCAGCGTGGGGTCAACGACGAGATGTCAACGTTGTAAGTCGGGTGTAACCCGGCCGAAGGGGTGTAACCGACGCGATCACTTTCCAAGTTTCCAATCTCTCCGAGGCAGGAGCCCGCAGTTTTCTTTTCCGCATTGAACCCGAGAGATCGCTGTTATCAAAGCAGAATGAAGCTGCTGGAGAATTCGCATTTGGAAGCTATAAACAGTGCCTTGTCCATCAAGACCGGAGATAGCAAGATAATCGGGAGGTAATGGATCGTTATATCTTTAAATCGATTACACCACTCGTTATATCTCGAGTCGTCTCGTTATTATTTTGCATTTCTCTGTCGTTGCAGGATCGAGAGCTACTCCTGCAAAATGACAGCCAACGACAAGCAGATGTACAAACGGTATAACGCGGAGCAGGGGGGCACGCCGCACGATCTGCAAGCTCTGTCACCACCGCAGACGTCTTTGGGAACGTCCCCGGCTCAGGGATGCTTGAGGTATCCTCGAAAGATGCTCGTTGTTTATCTATAATACTTGTAGAAACGCTCGGTCGATTTGTCAGATCATGTTATCTCGCGCTGATTACACTGTAATTTTCGGGATAAGATTTCATTATGACATCATGTATGCGCCAAGACGATAACACCGTCTCATCTCACGTTGTTTTTTTCCTCGTACAGCCGTAGCGTTTCCGGTGACGAAGAGGGTCCGCTGTGCGACACGATCAGCAGGAAGACGTTGTTTTATCTGATCGCCACGTTGAATTCGACCTTCAATCCGGACTACGATTTCTCGGACGCCAAGAGCCACGAGTTCAGCAAGGAGCCGAGCCTGCAGTGGGTGATGAACGCGGTCGACGGCAATCTCAACGCTACCGCGGGCGATCACTATCGGTCATTGCGCTCCGCTCTCTGGGCGGCCGTCGACAAAGAGATATCGTTGCACGGGTGTGATATTTACAGGTAAACACTCCGAACGTTCACGATCGTCCTTAATGTAAACAACAAGGAAAATACACGCAGACCCGAAAATATTGAGTTTAAATTTTGTCCCGAATATAAAGCGTGGAAATTACTTGAGAATAATACGAAATGATGAGAGAGAACGTTTTACAGTTACAATCCAGACTTCGCGTCGGATCCTTTTGGGGAAGATGGATGTCTGTGGTCCTTCAATTATTTCTTCTACAACAAAAAGCTGAAGCGCATCGTATTCTTCACGTGCCGAGCGATAAAGTAGGTTCTCGAAAAAGGGACACATTTGCTCTTCTCTCCGTCCTTTTAACTTTCTAACGCGATTTATCCGTTTTTGTTTTTTAGCCCTCTCTACGTGCCGGATTCCGGATTTGGTAGCGACTTCGCCATGGACGAGGATGACGAAGACGGCTATTAGATTATTTTTGCGCGTGCACACACACACATACACACCACACACACACACACACACACACACACACACACACACACATATGAATTCATGTTTGCAATTCTTAGTCCACAAATTTTGACTCTCTTCGTACTACTTTTATTTTTATTATAAATCAGTCAAAAATATTTTTTGAATATGGCTTTTAGAATTTCTGTGTTTGACACTAATATGTCACTAATATGTCACTATGCGACAAAAATCTCTTAGATTGACTTAGATGATAAAAGTCTTATACTTTCGTAGTTTATTAAGCGACACTGACGTTGAATACCTTTCAATGAAAAATCTCTCACAAGGAATAATCATTTCCTTTAAGAAGTAGATTATATGATACCATATTATCCCTTTATGAAAGATCCTTGCAAATTTATTAGAGCAAGCTATAAGAATTCTTCTCTGTCTTTGTGATGTATTACGTTATCATACTCTCGATATAATATTAAACATATATTTTGAAGGCAAATTGTACGTAATAAAATCCAATAATAATTCTGTTACATGTAACATTTTCTCGGTCATAAACTCGCCCAAGCACTATCTTTCATTTTATGCGTGTGTCTCAAATTATTAGATTAGAAGTAGAAATACTAGTTTATTTAAACTTCGCCGTTAAATAAAATATTAGGAGAACACGATGAAAAATGGTTCAATGAAATTAAAAAAAAAAAAAAATTACACGCTCTCATTCTTCCTCATCTCTGGTTCAAACGAGCATCGGAAATAACTAGACCTAGTTACAAAGTGAATCAGACCGAAAATAACCAGCGACTCCGACGAGCTCTCGATCCGTGTGTCCCGTTTCTCATCATGATCGCGCGTGTTTAATGCTCGACGTCCGAGCGTACGTGCCGTACGTCAGTGCACTTCTGTCGCCTCTGAATGTTCAGCGGTATCTCGCGAATGTCTCCGCGGGCAAGATTCTCGAGTTAAACAAGTCCGCTTATGAGAACCCTCAAAATGCTCCGGTTCCTGGTACGTAAACGCACATGCAGCTACCGCGCGATTTCGGAGACAATCGAAGTTGGTAACTTTCTCGTAATGACTTGCAGATCAGTCTGAGCATTGGAGTATACGCCGGCATATACATAGCTCAAAATTATGAGGTACGCATACTTTCGATAAGATAAGAAAGATGTTTTGATTTGTTTCATGACGGAATAAATAATACGTAAGTCTATCGGCATTCCTTTCTTCGCGTGTAAATAAAGACATCTAAATTCTCCGTCCCGTTATCCATTTCATCTGCGATTCATCTCTCCTTTAAATTAGTTCCGAAAACGATGTGTGGTCCCTAATGATTTGAAATCTGGTCTGTTTTGCTACAGGTGCCACGAGTGGATGAACCGGCGAAACTGTACCAGCGAGCGCTCCAGTTTCTAGAAGAGCATAAAAAGAAGCCATAGCATAGTATCATTGTATCTCCATCTCTCTCTCTCTCTCTCTATTAAACCAGTATCGAAAGAATGTATATGCCATTAATACGAAATGCAACGTTTAGCCTACGTCTCCCGAGGAAAAAAAAACGCCAATGTATATACACGTACTCGATGCAATGTACATAAAGACAAGCCACTCTTATTTTTCCATACTTTTATTTTAATAAACAATATTTAAACGCACATGTGTTTGACACGCATGTCCTTGCAGTTTTATAATTTAGCTATTAATATTTTCACGTGGGGCGCGCGTATGCCAAATACTTACAATGCCGCCTGGCCGTTACCATCCTATGTCCCATCAAATGTACATGAAGCCGCCGCCGGAGTACTCCACTCTCGTCTGCGGCTCGACGAATGCCAGCCAGTCGCTCGCGTGCGTCGGCAGCAGGCCCATCGACTGACACTTGTACAGAGCTAACGCGATATTCACTAACTGTCCTAGGAAGTACACGAACTTTTGTCCGCACGCGTGCGTACCTTCGATCACTTTGAACGCTGAGCAAGAGGAAGCATGTGATTATAAGAGCGGCGTCGTGCATTTACGCGCGCCTATATATATACAGACTAATTTGTCAACTCACTCTGCTGGAGGGTGAACAGCGCCTTGACCGGCTTGACGATGAGCATACCGACCATCATGATGGGGAATATCGAGACGGAGCTGCCGGCCATGTACAGGATGAACAGGTTCATGGGCACCTGCTTGAGGGGCCCCAACGCCAGGTCCCACGACTTCTTTATTATCAGGTGATTCGAGTCGGACTCCCTCATGTACTCCACATTGTGGAAGAGGGAGCCGGTGGGTGTGTACCCCGGCGGGGACGGTATCTCCACGCTCTTGTCCTGTTTCGTTCTGCGAAGAGAAATACACGTGGGTTCGTTAATGATATCTGCACATGTGTGAAACAACCGAAGAATCAGAAACCAGCTCCGTTCTTTCCAGCGGCGCTCTTTGATCGCAGGGAGGGGGGGGGGGAGATTAAAATAATATACACAAGATTCCGATCGCCGCGGGCAAGGTCGGTCACGCGTACGTCGCGCGTAAGGTTGCGCGGTTGGAAAAGAACGGGCATTAATATTTAATAACGCCGAGTGTGTCGTGGCTGGCCACGATATCGTCGACGATATCGAAATTGACGTCAAATCGACACGTGTTACTCAGCGAAGTGTATCCGCCGTCAGTTGTCAATTAGGTTACGCACCTGTGCGCGAAATCCAGGGCCCACTTCGACCGCTTGGAGCCTTGCTTCGAGCTCGCTGTCATCGTCATCGGGATTTATTCGCGCCGATTGGAAAGCTCGGTGTAGCCTCGGTTTCGTCTCCCTCCCTGATATAAACGACTATATGGACGCGCGATGACGCGAATGATCGGTGACATCCGGAGCAGCCGCGGCGGGCAGGCAGGGATTCGTGGTGGTGACGATCGCCGCGCCGATCGGCGGCGTATCTCTCGAACTATCTCCCAGGGGTAGCGGTAGCGTCGATAACGCGATGCCCTTGATTAACGACAATTAGACATCAGAGGGCTGAAGGGGGATGATGAATCTCAGGGAAGATGGGGAAAAAAGGGGTTCCCAAGGGCGAGACACGTAGACGTTTGTTCGATATTCCACACATCCTGCTCTTTTTTTTTCCATCTTTTTTTCCATCGTATACATGATACATAAATTAATGCGTATAAATAGAAATGAAATTGTAATATTAAGTATAAAACTAGCAACGTTGTTACACGATCTCGCGTCGCGGTCCTCGCGACGAAAGAAGAGAAAAAAGAAAAAAAAGAGTCGACTGCGACATTAAAAAGTAATGCGAATAAGATTACAATGGGGGCATACGATATAGATATAAAATATGAATTAATCGGTCGTCAACCCGCGCGGACTACGCACGAAAGTCTCTACGAGACCAGGTGAAGCAAAAAAAAAAAAAAATTTTTTTTTTTTTTTCGAGTCGTCGGAGTGTCGCTTGTACAAATTCTCCTCGAGCGTACGCGTTTTGCGATCTGTATTTCGTAAGCGGACTTGAATTTTGATTTTATAATATACTCTACGACGTCCGGCATCCTCCTGGAAAAAGAGTTCGTTAAGAAATCTGCGATTATGTCGGATCTTTCGGCAAAAATAGAATCGCGGCTGCCACCAAGAGACCCAACGTATGTACAAAAGTACGCGTAATCCTGGGGTTGATTAATTATGAATGAATAATTATATGTAGAGATAAACGCGAGGCGCACAAGAATAGGAAACATTGAAGTATGCGTAAGGATACGTCTGATTGCCGGCAGTGTGTGTTGTGTGTGTGTGTGTCTTTCCTTTACGTGTATACGTGTAACTTTTATTACTTTTATATATATATATATATCTCATTATTATTTTAATACAAAATATGTACACACAGCATGTGACGTACGTGCGCACGCACGTACACACGCACACGCGTACACACGCGCGCGCGCAGTATCGCGATCGAGAATATTCGAAAAACTACGAATCAAGGCTGATGGCAGTGTTTGTACCTGATACTTTTAACGACCTATCGGAACTCTTTGACGAACGTTTTCGCTCTTCCGGCTGCAGGATCTCGGCTATGATCTTCTCGTCGGTGCGCCGCTCTTGCGACGGACGCACGGCCTCCAGGGGCTTCTTCTTACGTTGATTCCCCGCGTTGCACGAATCGCCACCGCCGCCGCTGCCACCGCCGCCGCCGGCCGAGGAGCCCTCCTCGGCGACCGATGCCAGGTGTGCCGTTTGTATCTCAGTCAGAGTAAGTCTTCCGTTAATCTTGCCCTCCGCAGGACTCACAGACTGCTGCCGAGGGCTAGCCTCGGAGCTAGGAACAGGTGATTGCAGGGGATTCTCCTCCGTGCCGATCGGTATCTTTAGGATGTTGACTGGTTCAACGTAAAGCTGCAAATTATGTCGCAAATTATTTTATTAACTTAAAGAGTAAGAGTTACTCGCATACGCACGCCGTATTTTAATTTCATTGAATATACAATATTTGTATAGGTAATTTAGAATACGAGAGGAGAAGCCAATAATGAATAGTTTCGATAAACTCATAGCTAACTTATTAACTCATAAATATCGTCATAGGTGATAAATTTAGAGACGAGTTTCTCGCATGACTGTACCTCAACGAGCTTTTATTTTTAACAGTTCCTTCGACTGATTACGCGCCGCGCCAACTATATAAAATAACGCTGACAATCACGAGTCATGGGATTACGCGGGAATCGCCAGATCGGAAGCCGTGCGTCAGAAAGAAAACTCACCGCATCGAATGGAGAATCCAGAAACAGCTCTTGCAGAAATCGCCGCGCTGGCATTCTGTACGTACCGCTACCCAGGCGAGCGGCTACGTCCGAAAACAAGCAGGTATCCTGGAAGAAACGAACGTATGTAAAGGACTCCTACATGCCCAGGCGTCGTAGAAACGAAACGTACGAGATACGACGATACCTGAAACTTCTCGGGATACCGCTGCCTCAGTCTGAGTAACGATTGACGACTGTGACGATACCACACTGGATTTGCAAGCCGTTGGGTGTGTCTAAGTATTTCTCTGTACAAACACGACCGAATTAGACATAATGTATCTCGTAAAATTTTTATCATTCACCAGACATCACAAAAAAAATTTTCCTTTATCCTAACTTTATCCTAATTCAAATTAATTAAGAACTATAATTCCTTTCTGATTTTAATATGACAATGAGCAATTTTTTTCGTCGTATTTCAATTATGTTTGTTTTCTATCCTCAACATACGAATACTTCAATAAAAGATCGTGTTTTCGGTACCTTCGCAATTTCATATCCTGCTCCGTGCCAGCGTCCTTGCCATTCTTGCCGTGATAACAAACGAGACACGTGCGGCAATGCTCGGTATCGGCATCGCACTCCGAACTCGACTCCTCGTCGATCTCCGTTGTCTCCAACTCGGATCTGATGCTATCCTCGAGAATGGTCGGCTGGGACGGTTGGGGAGGCTCGGGGAAGATCGCGAGCATCTTCCGTGGCAGGCAGACACCCATGTAGTACAAGTTCTCGTTGTCGTCCTCCGGAGGAGGTGGCGTCGGTGTGAGAACCGCGTTCTCCGCAATCCAGCTGCGGGACGAATCGTACTCCGACAGACTCTGCAGCGAGAGACGGCCGTCTAAACTATACATCTGCAAAGAAGAAAAAAAAAGTTCAATTGTTGCCTGTCGTGTTGTTTAACGACACCGGTGAATCGTCCAGGCATGATCTTTCACGTACTTCTAAACTACTTTGAGAATAACTCGGCCTGCGATGGCGTTGTAAACTACGTAGTCGCGCGTATCCTTCAGCATCTTGTTGGCTTAGTCTTTGAATACTTGAAACGGGACTTGGAGTTTCGCCTCTCTCTCTAAAAAACAGAAGACAACACTAATAACGAAAAAAAACCAAACACTAATAAAACTAAGACAAAATTAATATTAAAACGCAGACACAGAGATCAAAATATATTCAAATTCATCTTTTTCTACATTTAAATTGTAAAAATAAAAAGTCAAAATCCTTCTTGCAAGTTATAAAATTTCGACAATTAAATTTACACTTACAAAATCCACTTCAAATTAAAATGATTTTAATCTACTCTCGATATATATTTTCGTCTTTAATTGTTTCACTCACATAAGGAAGTATCGTCGCGCCTCGAGATCCGTGGCCGCGCTCTCGGATCGATTCCTGGTGCGGCGCACGATCGGCTCGAGCAGCTCCGGTTTGCCGTCGCTGAGGCTACGATGATGCCGCTGCACGGGAATCGGGCTTGGCATGGGGTATCTAGACGAGGGCGGTACCACGGGCCAGTTGTCGCCGCGTCGATGCCTCACGCACGGCCAGTTGAAGTTCACCAGCGTGTCAGCTCCGGCTCGCGTGGTGCCGATCAGGCTGAGAGCGTACATCGCGGTGGCGCGCACCGAGTAGTACGGACACGTTTCCGCCATGGACGTGATCATCTCAATGATACCCAGGTGGCTCAGGTGTTCGACACCGGCGACGGACGTGCCCGCGTGGCCGAGGGCCCAGAGAGCCGATTTCACCTTGAGAATGCCGCCGTTCGGGCCGGCGAAGTGATCGTCGCGCGACGACTCGGTCTCCATTCGCCAGCTTCGTTCCGGAGTGGTGTGCCTGGAGTCGTCCATGCTGGTCTTGCGGCGGATCTCCATCAGTGACTCCGTTCGCGGTTGACTCGCCGTGTCGCGAGCCTCGTTCTCCACCGTTTCGTAATCCGGGATTGTCTCGAGGCGGCTGCACTGCTCGACCGCTTCGTCCGTACCGGACTCCTCCGACATGATGCAGGAATCGTCGACAGCGGCGGAGGCCGCCGTTGCCGCCGTCGCCGCCATGGCGGCGAGACGACTCGTTCTGGTGCATCGCGAGTTGGACTCCGAGTCGCGACCGCCGAACTCCAGCTTGAATCGCTGCAACACTCGGGCGAAGCGCTGTATCACGTTGCGGCGTAGCAGCAATTGCATCCCCAGGTCGTGCTGCGCCAGCTGACCGATCAGATGCGGCGGCACGTAGATGTCCCGCGGCACCATCACCACGTCGCTGGCGGGCCTCCTCTGGTAGCTCCCAGTCTCGTCGCGTTGACGATACGTCAATGCGTCGTGTATCTCCCCCTCTACGAGACCCACGTATCGCTCGGCGAAACCGCCGGGCCCGATCCACTTCTCCAACTCCTCGGAAGGTGCGGCGAGACTCGCGAAACCCTGCTGAAGGGAGTAGAGACGGATCTTCAATAGATAACCCTTGTCGCCTAGGTGCTGCAGCCACTTGTCCCAGTCGCGCGATTGTCCGCCCTGTTGCAGCAATGCCTCCAGATACTCGGTCTCGTCGCAGGCCTCGTGCAGTGCCTCCAGAGCGGCCAACGCCACGGCCGTGTAGCTGTCCGACAAACGATCCGCCAGCAACGTCATTGCCCAGCGTACGGCGTCCGTCATTCTGGCGCGTAGAATCAGCCGCAGGAATTGTGTGGCGTAGAGACGCGTGCTCCACAACGTCGCCTCGGAGATGATCTTGCTCAGTACCTTCCTGTTGGGACCGTCCCGGGAGTAATCCAAGCTGGAGACGATGAGTTTGACGTAGCAGTCGTGATTGGTGGCCAGCGCGAGGTCCTGCAACCTCTCCAGCAGATTGAAGCTCTTGAGCACCACTGTGCCCTTGGCCGAGTGACTCAGCTGGCCGAGAAACAGAAAGTACTTTTGGCAGCACGTGGTGGACATGTGACGTGGTGAGAACAGGCAATCGTGTGCGGACTCGGCAGTGCGGATGTTGCCGATCTGCTCGGCGATGTCCCCGATCAGCTCGTTGAGCAGTCGCGCGCCTTCCGGTTCGTGCAGCTCCAGCAAGCAATTCAACAGATCGCAGCCGGCGAGGGTCGCCTCGCGCGCCAACGTCGCGCTCGTGCCGAGCTCGACTCTGCTGTAACCGTTCCACGACGGTTTGAAGTAACGCACGAGTCGTTTCATGAACAGCCGATGATCGGAATCGTGAAGAATTCGCGTCGCGTCTTCGCGCGATCGTAGAATCGCCCGCACCACCGGCCAGTTCCAGGCAAGCGCGTCCTTCGAGCTGAGCACCTGCGCGTCCTTCAGCAGAGGCGTGATCGGCGACTCCCGGCCGATTCGCAGCCAGTGCCTGCCGGATGGCCGTTGACGTCGCGGCAGAGTCGGACGTAACCAGGTGCCCGCTTGAAGAATACGATCGAGGAAGAGACTCGCCGGCGTCGGCCTACGTCGCATCATGGTGTGCATCCGCTCGAGAATGGTGACCGCCGCCAGCGCCTGATGCTTACCGGCGCTCGCGTGCTCCAGCAGATTCGGCAACGGCGGCGTGAGGTCGCAGAGCTCGGACGGTAGGAGCGAGTGCGCGAGATGCAGCAACGCGCCGAGGAGCACCGCCGCGCGCACCGAGATGAACGTGTCGCTGGAGACGATGGTTTCCGCGAGGGCGCGATGCAGGCCGCACTCCAGAAGAACGTAGACCAGCAACGCCGAGTGTATCTCCGTGATGTTGGGACAGTGCGACGACAGGGATGGCAGTATGGACTTCCCCTCGGCGGCGACGAAGCCCTCCGACAACTTCCACGAGTCCCGCGAACGGCTGGGATCCACCGCGGCCAGCGCGACATCCGGCTCGTCGGTCCACGTGGGCAGCGGGAGGTCCAGTAACTCGTACAGCAATTCCAGAACGGCGCCGCGCATCTCCAGTTGGTCCACGTACAGAATATCCGCGATGGCTTTGAGACCCGAATTATTGTCCGGCCGGCAAAAGTGGAGGACACCCGGGTACGAGCGCAGGATGCTCAGCAGGGCGAGTTTACTGGCGGCGAATCTCTGCTCGCGCTCCTCCTTGGTTCTCTCCATGCTCAGGGAGTGGAGCTCGCAGTAGGGTGCAGCGAAGCACAGGAGGGAGACGCTGGCGCGCGTGTCAGGATTGTTCAGCAGCCGCAGCAGCACCCCGACGACGGCCTCGACCGCGACGGCGCTCTGCCCGGTCATCGCGGCCCGGGCGAGCGTGCCGACGCCGCCGCAGCCTATCAGCAGACTCGAGTTCAGGACGCCTAACTCGCACAGCACCGCCAGAAACGCCTTAAATGCACGGTCCCTCTCCTCGATGCCGCCGTTCGTCAAACTGACCAGAGATCTCGCTAGCACGGAACTGAAATGCTTGGGGGCTAATACTAGGATCCGCCTGACGAGCCGTAGCGCCTGTATCCTCTCCATCTCGTTACGCAGGTTAACGTCCATGCTACGCGCCAGGAAGTACGGGTACTGCAGCCTGTTGATCGCGACGACATCCTGCTCCTTCTTGAGCATGTAGCGCACCGCCCGTAGCGCGGCGGCGCGCACCTGCGTCGCCTCGTGGATCAGCCCCACCCGTAAACTATAAAAGAAAAAACAAATTTTCGTGACGATTAATTGATAATCGGCGTTTTTTACAGATTTTTTTAAAGATTTTTTTAAAGATGGGCAGATCTAGCTGTCGCGGCGGATTCTTACCAACAGAACAGATCCTCCGCGGAGTATCCATAATCCTGGCACTCGGTTTCGTTAATCAGCTTAACGAGAGCGGTGAGATACGCTAGCTTCTTTACGCTTGGAACATTGTGCCGCTGGCAAAGATTAGTTAGGGCCTCCTTGACGTTCTCCTTTAATCCTGCAAAGCATAAATTATAATTCCACCGGTGACTCGTGAGCAATTCGTGATAAAAACAAAAGAAATAATCATGTCTCGCGCGTTCTCGGGTGAAAGAAAAATCAATAGCTAAAATAATTGCGCAATATTCTCGTACAGTCTGATCTGAAAACAGGACGAAGTTTGGAGTGGAATTGACTGGCTGGTCTTAGATACCATCTCCCTCCATCGCTTTCCTGACCTTTTCCGTTTTTAGATCAGGCCGAGTGTACGAATACATTTCAAGCTGTCGAATGGCAAGAGATCCGTATCATTCGATATCGCTGAAAGGTATCCGCATTTTTTTTTTTTCTTTTTGCGCGTTGAAAACACGCGCGGCGAACCGGTCGCCGATCTCCGGGGGGCGCCGAGAGACGCACAGCAAACGTTGCGCAACATTGCGCGCGCCAGGCGAAAGGTAAATAAATACACGGAAGTGCGAGGCGGCCCCGGACGGCCGGTCGAGTCGCGGCGGCGGTGGCACCGGGGAGGGCGAGGGGATGGAGAGGGGAACAACAATATCCGCGACCGCGACGATGTACGCAGGTTAGGTTACTAACCTCTTGACAGGTCGAGCTGCACGCAGTTGTCCTCGTCCTGGCGGCCTGCAATCAGAAAGAAAAAAAAAAAGGCAGAGGGAGTGAGACGTGAATCGCGCCGCCGGGCGCTAACGTTTAAGAAACGAGTTTCGAATTGCAATCGCACGCACTTCGACGGGTACGGCCGGTGCGGAGGCTCCTACCCCACATCATCCAGCTCGAGATTGCCATTGTCCGACAGCCGGGGGGGAAGGGGGGGACAGCCTTGGCTGGACGATCCGTACGACGCGACGAGGATGGGGTCTCCCGGGGGTATTCTCTTTCCCTTCAACCGTCGCGGTCGCGCTGCTGCTCGACGACGCTCCACCCGGTGCGTGCGTGGTCGTCGCGCGTCATCCGCGCGTCGCGATATGTCATTCTCGACCGCGGGAGCACCGAGCGAGCGAGCGAGCGAGCGGGCGTACGAACGAACGATCACGAAGCACTACGAGTGCAGGCACTGACAGAGACGTACGTGCGTGCGTGCGTGCGTGCGCACGCGAGTCGACGAGTGCACGCACGCGAGAGGAGAGCGCCTGTCGACGCGAACGTAGGTCGGCGCGCTGCCGGACTTTGCGAGTTCGGAGCGTCGCGCGCGCGTCGTCAACGTCGATCGGCGGGAGCCGTCGGTCGAGTCCGCTCTGCTACTCCGCTGCTGCCGCGTCGAACAGCCGACGACGGTGGCGGACGGGGACCTCCCGCCGGGAGGAACTGGAAGGCGACGGCGAGAACGACAACGACGACGGAAACGGGAACGAAATCTCGCGGCGCCGCGCGCGCTTTCGCCGCTCCGCTTTCGCGCTCCTCCGCATGCCCGGCTGGCGAAGGCGCCGCGCGTGGTACGGTACCGCCGCTCGCGGCTCGTCTCGACTCTCGTCCGTGCACCGCCCACGAACGTGGGAAACAATTGAAAGGGTTACGTTACCCGAATGTCGTGCAAGAGATAGATATAAGGAGGGGATGGAAGGAGGGGACGATCAAATGATCAAATACGTCATGGTAATACGAGAAAAAGACGTGGAAAATGCAACGATTTGTGGCAAATGCAATTTACGAACAAAACCAAGTTGAAAATGGTAGATTGCGTATTAATAACATTTTTGTTTTATAATAAATACCTGCAGTGTACAAGTACTTTTTTGCTGGAAAAACTTGATTAGGAATTATGAAAGTTCATTTTTATATTTAACTTTGAAGTCCAACAAGAGAATATATTAATAATTTTGATTTTAGAAAACAAACTTCTATTGGAATTTGTTCGATAAAACAATGTAAATTCTGCATAATTATATGACGATACGATATCCAATCAGAGAATTTAGTTTCTAGGGTTTTTAGATAGTGACATTTAGTTCAAATTCTCATATACGTCGATATCGCAAGCAGTGTGAATCCTGCGTAAGGGTGCGTTTCCACTGAGCGCGTCATGGTCATCCGCGCGTGAAGTGTAGCGGGAGAATAAATTCAATAAAATATAAATCTCTACTAAAATGTGGTTTGAGTCTCCGCTAAATAAAGTTCGAGTCTTCGCTAAGTGGAGTTTGAGCCTATATAATATATACATATATGTATACTGCTCCTCTGAGTAAAATATGAATTTAGCGGAGACTCAAACCCCACTTAGCGAAGATTCGAACCCAACTTAGCAGAGACTCGAACCACATTTTAGCGGAGAATTATTGAATTTATTCTTCCGCTGCACTTATAGCGCGCGCGCATTCGAACCCCACTTACCGAAGATTCGAACCGCGGATACTTTCAAGGTGCCGTCCCATGGCAGAGATTTTTCATGTAACGCTTATCGCGTAACGCCTCTGATAGATTACGCAATACGCGTTACATGAAAAATGTCTGCCATGGGACGGCACCCTTAAAGGCGCCTCGCGAGAGTCGCGAGTCTCGTGACTCGCGGTGACGTATCGCACCGCCGAACACACGTGTAGGTGTACATCTCGCACGATGATAAAATCATTCTCAAGAACGATATTGTCGGGTATTCGTAATCCCGTCCAGAGCTACGCAACGAGACATTCCGGCGATTTCGTGAAGGTGGTCGAGGTTGGACCAAGAGATGGCTTGCAAAATGAGAAGAAGATCGTGTCGACTCGAGTCAAAGTCGATTTCATTAACAGGCTATCCGCGACGGGATTGCGCAGCATTGAGGTTACGAGCTTCGTTTCGCCTAAATGGGTGCCTCAGATGGCGGACAACTCGCAGGTTTTCGAGCAAATTGAGAAAAAAGACGGAGTATCCTATCCGGTGCTTGTACCGAATCTGAAAGGCTTGGAGAGCGCTGTCGCGGCAGGCGCGAGGGAAATCGCCGTGTTCGGCGCGGCGTCGGAGGCCTTCTCCAGGGCGAACACCAACTGCACCATCGAGGAGAGCGTGAGGAACTTCAGGGGGGTGGTCGAGGAGGCGGGGAGGCACGGCATCAGGACCCGGGGTTACGTGTCCTGCATCGTCGGCTGCCCTTACGAGGGCGATACCAAACCGGCCGTCACGGCGCACCTGGCCTCGGTGATGCTGGATCTCGGGTGCTACGAGATCTCGCTGGGCGACACCATCGGCGTGGGCTCGCCGAGGAGGATCAAACGCGTGCTGCACGAGCTGCTCCACGTGTCGTCGAGCGACATGGGCCGCTACGCGTTGCACTGCCACGACACCTACGGCCAGGCCTTGGCGAACGTGCACGCCGGTCTCGAGGACGGCATCCGGGTCTTCGACTCGTCGGTGGCTGGACTCGGTGGATGCCCGTACGCCGCTGGCGCCTCGGGAAACGTCGCCACGGAGGATCTTCTGTATCTCCTACGGGGCCAGGGATTCGACACTGGCGTTGATTTTGACAAAATAGTGGAGATCGGTGATTACATAAGTAAAGAGCTAGGCAGAGCGAATCAGTCGAGGACTGGTGTGGCTGTGCTTGCCAAGAGGAATCGCCAAAGATGCTAATCGATATTTGATATTTCAGGGTGCTTTCCAGCAAAAAAGATATATTAGATATAATCACACGTTTGGCTGTTAAATAGAAAATTTTCTGGAGCTTTGGAAATGTTTTATTCCTTGATGCAATGTCCATATGCATTCTCTTACTGGAAAGCATCCTTGCATCCATACAAGTTTAATAAAAGCAAGGCGAAACCAAAGCATTTTAAGACTTCCAAAACTGTATATATAATATGTATATATAATTACTGATATATTTTTATATGTTTATATAAATGGGAATTTTATGATATTGTACATTGAAGATCTTAAAAAATATATATATATTACATATATCTGTGCACATATTTTATGTTCGATAGTAAACCGCGTTTATTAACACAGTCAGCTTATATAATTTTATGAATGAATAAGATAAAAGTGCATTTTTATTTGAATCTTCCTTTATTTTTAAAAAGTAGAAAATATAGGAAATATATGTCTATAAGCGATCAGGAGACAGGATTGGCAGTTGGCACTACTGCTCGAAAAAACACGTGTACTAGCAGTGGTGAGATAAATTAGTGGCTGTGGAAGCTCCAGTGAAAGTTTTATTTTATTGTCGAATAGTATCGAGTAATTTTAATGAATTTCCAATAAAGATGGAAGCGAATGTCATATGTTGTACTACATGGGTGAAAAAAGGCGTCGCCGCGGCCGTTCCGGAAAAAGTTATTATTTTTGACGATATTGTAGGTTATGTCATTTGTCAAAAATATATAAACTCATGCGATTTTTAGGTTGAATTAAGGCCCGACGAGCTCGAGAAGATCATAAAGGAGACGCAAGACACTTTGACTTTGGAGTACGTAATAAAAAATGCAAATTATCTCCATTAAAATAAATTTGAAAATTCACAACTTTGTCTCATCTCTTTCGTAACTCTCTTTTACTTTAGTATCCTTATCTTCTGTCAAGAATTCAATTCCTGAATTTAAATTTTGAGTTTGCAGTTTAGATCAACCTTGTATTAATATATTACTTCGATAATTTTTGAAAAAACATTGAAAGACAGTAATATATATCTCAATTTTTCATGCATCTGTTTTCTCGAAAACGCTACATAATAAATATTTGAAAAAAGAATTTATTTTATAGAGGTGATGATGACGATTCTGACGAAGAGGCGGTTGTCTCCAAAGTGCAGCCCAAGACAGAAAGTAGAGGAGAACCTTCGACAGCTGGCACTGATGAATATAACTTTGCAGACTATGATAATGAATGTAAGAGAAAAATTGTTAACAATTGTACACTGGGAATATAATAAAAAAGTGTTTATTTTTATTTGAATCTTAATTCTATTGTTTTATTTTAGCTGGCAATATGTATTGCCATATTACCAATTTAGCCACTATTGATGGAAGTGGCAAAGATCCTCTTATAACAAACGATGAAGAAGATTCGGACAAAGAAGATGACATTATCAAACCTGATGATAATTTAGTATTGTTCGGCCATGTTGAGGGAAACGCCAGCATCTTGGAAGTATTTGGTTTGTATAATATTGATTAAATGTATAAAGCATTTTGATGCTATATAATTTTAAATAATGTATAGATTTCTTTCTGACAATTTTTTTATGTGTATGATTACAGTGTATAACGAAAGGGAAGGATCCTTTTATTGTCATCACGATATACTGTTACCTTCGTTTCCATTGTGCATAGAGTGGCTTAACTATGATCCTACCAATCCAAAATCGAGTGAGTGATGTAACTTTAATAATACTTTAAGTATATTGGAAACATTCTTATTGAAATTATAAATTGTATTATCTATATAAAATTAAAGGATTTAATTAAAGATTTATACCTATGCTTTTAGGTAATCTATGCGCCATTGGTAGTATGAGTCCCATAATTGAGGTATGGGACTTGGACATGATAGACTGCTTAGAGCCAGCCTACAAATTAGGCCATAAGCCAAACAAACTGAAGAAGCAAAAGCGCATCGGTCACAAAGATGCAGTTCTAGACGTGTCGTGGAACCACAATTACACGTTAGCTATCAATTTCACGAAAGTACAATTGATGTGTAACATTTGTAACAATTAATTTCATAATTATTGGGAACATTTTGCAGGCACGTTATCGCTAGCGGTTCCGTCGATCGGACAGTCTTACTGTGGGACTTGGATAACGGTAAACCTGTGAACAAGCTGGGCCCGTTCAACGAAAAAGTACAATCGCTGAAATGGCATCCACAAGAAACGCATGAGCTATTAATAGGATGCGCAGACAGGTAGATAGACTGTCCTGTTTCGATGTAAACGTTTATATCGTACATTGCCTACATTTAATTTAATTTCTTTTTCAGAGTAGTGAAATTATACGACTGCATGAATGAAGTACCTATCACGAACTGGGAGGCGTTGGGAGAAGTGGAAAGGGTGTTATGGAATCATTATAACAAAAATCACTGTATTGTACGTCTTCACGCGCGCCTGAAAATTAATTTTTGTCATATGAATTAATTTTCGTCTGTAACAATTGCGTTCCTTTGCAGATTAGCACGGATAATGGTTACATAGAATACTTCGATATAAGAAAACCTAAGCCACTGTGGCAAATTAAGGCCCATGAGAAAGAAGTCACAGGCAAGTAGATCTCAAATATATTTAATTTCTTGTTTTGCATTACAGTTCGTAAATTTTATTTTGTATTTCTTTTCCAGGTCTTTCTCTTAGCACGACATGCCCGGATTTGTTGGTCTCTTGTTCGAACGACGGTGTAATCAAAGTATGGGATATAGATCAAAAGTCACCTACTCTCGTATGGGAGCAGACGAGTAATCTGGGCGCTCTGCAGTGCCTCGCGGCGAATCCGGATAATGGATTTTTATTTATTGTCGGCGGAGATAATAAAGAGCACAATTTCAAAGTGCTGGATCTTATGGAGATACCTATGGGTACGTATAGTAATTTTTAATACAAGTGCCAATGCGTATTAACTTTTACTCTGATTAATAGTGCGAGAGAGATTTGTGAAGCACGTCGCACCGAAAAAATCGGCGGAATCTCGGCGAGAAGAGGCGATGGACGTTGCCGAAGATACGTAAAATATGGAAATTGAAAATTATGAATTATCGAGCATCAAGAAAGAAAAGGAATGAAGGATGTATATACCAGCATCAAGATTGATTTAGAAATGTTACGTTAAAACATATTAAATGGAAGTTTCATAGAAAATGTAAGTAAATCTTTTTTTTATATGCGTTTCTTCTTTGTACAGCCAGTTAACAATCTGTGGCATTGACATAAAAATATAAGGATAAAGGATGTATCTACATATTTGGTAGGCTAATATTAAACTCCTTACGTTCTTGTTTCTCAAAACAATGATTTATTGTTTCCCTTTTAACAGTATAATTTTAATTCCATTATTTTCCGTGAATCTTACGTCATGTAATTTTTGTTGAAAATAACAAGTACAGTATTCTATTCAGTAGTTTTATTCGACATTCGGGAGACATCATTTCATAAAAAAAAAAATCATTTAATGAAGCAAGCTCCCCTGATTCGCACAGTGCTATGCCATAAATTTGTAATGGACAACAGCACTCGCTTAATCTCTCGTGAACAAGAGATTACACGTATTGTATTTAGAAACATTAATTCCAAAGAATTAAAAAATTTTAGTACAGACTCGAAAACACACGCTGTCCACTTGAAGAATTGTTGTATACTATTAAAATACAGATAAAATACAGATTTGCGCCATGTAAAAATAAGCAGTTACGTCATGTAAGACGGAAAGGATTTGTATAACTTATACGAATTCACAAAATTGTAAAAATACCATTTGCATGGAACTGTTTTTGTAAAAGTGGTTAGGTTATTCAATTACCTGGCTATTTCTCGGTTAGAAATTCGTTTTGTAAAAGCTACATCTTACGCAACGATTCCTTTGATTAAGAATTCAAGATATCGAGAAAGCAAGTCTGAGGGGGAGAGGGGGCAGTCATGAGGATCATTTTTACAAGTCAATATTACCAAATGTTTGGCGATATTATTCGTTCCTCGAGTGTACAATCCTCGATTTATCTATTAATCACTATTACTCTGATACTGATAGATTCTTATATTTACTTTCATTTTTTTTTATGCAGAATCGTATTACAATGATCTCGATAAGTGTATAATTATGGGGGCCTGATATTAACAATGTTAGAAACCCCTTCTTTTTCTAGTTTACCCGTTTACTTAAGGAACTTGCTATGGTCCTTGCAGCTGCGATTTAATTTTGAACAGATACAAGTCTTTATGAAATTTTGTTGGGCAGTTTATATAAATGTGGTAAACGTAATAAACTTGAACGATTCCTCTTGCGTGCATACGCATTTGCATTTTCGGACAAAGTATTACCTCGTTTCATTCTACAATCTCAACTCGCTTATTTGCTGAAAAAAATTGAAATTTTATCTTTCTCCTTTTTTTTTTTTCAGAGAGCGTTGCTCGAACATTTAATACGCGCGCGAAGTATATTTATATATTACATATCTGAAAAGTTATGTTCGAACTGTATATACAATTGTGATTAAACGCTTTTGGACTTAATTACGAATTAATACGAATTTAATTACGCTCAGTAAAAGTGTAGAATAAATTAGCGAATCGTGAAGAGATCAGTAAAATAACTTTCCATTATTTAAGTAGGTATATTATATTTCAAGAAAATTCATCTCGTTGACGAATTAGAATGGAATAAGGTGTACATATATATGTACCAGTGCCAGTCGTGCTCTCTGGTTAGTCTTGTTAACAAATTCCGTAACGGAAATCGCCTTTACGATGCGCTCCCTGGCAGTGGTCTCGTAGAATTCAATGAAAATCGAAGATATAATTACGTCAACAATGTTTCATAAAGTTCCGTTGCACTGATATTTACAATTTGTTTCCTTCCATTTTTTTTCCCCGCATTTAAATCTAACGCGGAGTGTGCCACGTCGATAGAGATTTCGAACAAATTCGAATACATGTTGCAAGTACGACGTTCGTAAAATAAGCGATCTTTTAAGTACATTTTTTTCGCCAAAAAAAAAAAAGACGCGTACAGAGAAGTGGCGCAAATTATTCAATACTTCGTGCAACAAGTAAAACAGTGACATACAATGTACACATATTCCTATCCCGCCTACCCTTGAATGATGATACACGAATCGTGCTCAGTCAATAATATCTCCGCCGACAGCCGACATAAAATGCTGATACCCCGCTCTGGGGGTACACGTTACACAACTCGCGACGTACAAGTCAAACGAGAGAGGAGCGTTGACTGTGTGTCAACAACGCGGTCGCGTTTTCTTCCGTCTAGAGGAATGGTACAGCTGACCGGTAGAGAGTTGACATACATACAATATATATTAATTGGAATAATTCATACACACATATGTAACATTATAGTCATTAAGCTAGGCGTCGGTTCCCACGTCGAGGCTTCTCGAGTCCTGATTCGAGTCGTGCTGGCTCCCGCCCTCGGAGCTCGCGTTGCTCGACTGATCCGAGCCCTTCTTCACCTTGGGCTTGTACTCGGTGATGGTGACGGTGACATTGTTGACCGTCACCTCGTTCGACTGCGCGGTGCTGCGGTCGATGTTTTTCAGGCGCGGCGGATGCCTGTTCTTGCGCCTCAGCTTGTCCAGCTTGCGCTCCTTCTCCTTGACGCCGCTGGTCGTGCTACCGCCGCCACCGCCGCCGCCGCCGCCACCGCCGCCGCCGCTTCCTTCCTTCTTGCCTGGTTTCAGGAGTGGTACATACTGTTGCTGCGCAACCTGGACACGAGACGAGAGGGTAATGCCGATTATGATGCCGTTAAATTCTGACGTCGAGATAACAGCGTGAGAAATAAATTGAGAACAAATAGCATTGAGATAAAACTTTTTTCTTTTCTGTATAAATTATGAAAAAAAAAAAAGTATTGCGAGACGATCACGGGACTGACCTGTTGAGCTACCAATTGGGGATTTATGCGGGGTTTCCGCGTAGAGGTACCTTTGCGGACGTCACACATGAGGCACTTAAATGCTTCCGCTGTATTCCTATAAGTGCAGACACTGCAGTCCCAATAATTTTCTTCCAAAACCTTCGCCTGGCGTTTTCCGCTTCCCGAATGGTTCATTGTTTGTCGCAGTCGATCGTAGAACGCTGTACCTTCTCAAGAGAAAGTTTCCCCTCTTTTGCGGCACCTTCGGCCTCATTAAATTTTGCAGTTTTGTGAACACCGGGTTTTGTTTTTTCCAACAGAGCGTGACTATATAAGGATATGCAATAAAAGCGCTAGACAAAAGAACGTCTAAGGCAACGTTCCGTACATCAACTAAGCGAAATACACAATAGTCTGTTGTGATTGATCGCTCCGGATTGGCCACCTATGTCTTTAAATTGTATCACTCTGGCATTACACATTTTCTTCCAATGAATCTGTAACGGAGAAATACACAGTCTCGTTAATTTGAGTGCATTGAAAAAAATATTGCGAAAAAAAAGATATTTCTGTACAATAAAACGACGTTCGGCGATGTCAAAATATTATTTACCAAACTATGAGTTTATTGATACATTTTTTGTATACGCGTTTAAATTGACGTTTAACCAGGAACACCTCGAGAAGAGAAATTAATAAATATTTCAAAAAGACAGCCAGTGTCTTGTATAAATGAAAATTTGCTTCTCAATGTCTTAACTCGAGAAGAGAGGGAAGACGTAATTAAAGTTCAAACTGGCAACAAATTAGTTGCGATCGTCACACAGAGAAAGTTAATTGGTGCTTTGGCGAGTTATTTGACTTCAACAACCATCAACACACGCTACACTGTCCCTATTTATCAATACAGAAATGACCTCTCGTCTACCCTGGGGGTTAACTCACATTATTTACACTCGCCGTTCACCGATAGTGAATTCGTTCACGCTGATTACTCTCTCCAGTGCCACACTTCGGTCCGGTGCTCTCCTGTCCCCTCACGGCGCGGTGAAATCGTACACGATTCAGCGTCGCTCTGCACTATCGGGCGACGCTCCTCGAGGTACACTGTTTATTTTCTTCAAGAACCAGAAATTGCTATGCAGTTAACGTACGTCCCGTTCTCGAGACGAATGTCGTACCACAATAATTGTGCTGGTCCACAGTCCACTTACAAGGAAAGCGTCCGCGGCAATCGCTTCTGGAGCTCCTGCTCCGAAGTTGCTCCGCTCGGTCGCGACGACGTCCCGGAGAGCCGAACAACACGTCGTTCGCACTCCGTCAAGCCCGGAGTCCCGCCGGCGACGAGGTCAGCGGGTCGGCGCGTCCTCCCAGCGGCGAGGCAGACGTAGTAGTAGCTCGTCGACGCATCGTCGTCGTCGTCGTCGTCGTCGCCGCGCGTACAATGTATGCGTGTGCACGCACGTGCGCTCGCGCGCGCGCGCGCGTCGTGTCAATGCCGTGTGTGGTGGTGCGCGCCCGTTACACGCGTGTCCCGTAGCAAGTGCCCGCTGGTACTCCGCGTTCGCGCATTCCTGGCGTCCCGGCTCGTCGGACGCGAGAGGGGAGAGAGGGTGTACGCCGCGCGGTACGTCAGGCGCGTCGCGTGAAGGGTCCAGTCAAAGAGCGAGCCGCGAGGAGGAAAAAAAAAAGGAGGCGGTGACGATGACGATGACGATGATGATCCGTTCACTACCGAACCTGCCGTCGATCGTCCGTCATGCCAGCGTGACGAGCGTGCTCGTCGACGATCGTGCGTACTGGCGAGGTGTGACGGGACGCGTATATGTAACTCGAAGCGCGGGAGGATAAGCGCGGCGTCGGCGGCGGAGGTGGAGGAGGAGAGGATTATTGACAAACAATCCGACGGCGGTTGCGTGCGACGATCGCGCGCGGCTGTTCCGTTCACGGCGTGGTCCGCTTCCGCTCGTTCCTACCGTCCCGCCGCCGGACGCTCGGGAAGTCGGGAACGCGGAACCACAGGTCACAGATTTCTTCTCCCCCCCTTCTTCCCTTTCCCCAGCGCGACAACTGCGTCCCGCAGATGCTGAATAAATAATTGATATATTCTTCTCTTTTTCTTTTTCGTAAATCGTTTAAACAGATTTCACAGACGCGTGTCTCTCTGTCTCTCTCTCGGTCGAGCGTCGTAAAACCAATTAGCTCTATTTGATTCATAAATTTTATCATTATTTATAGTTTGCAAAAAAAATGAGATCGTAATATAATTCTATATTATTTTTTATATCAATATAATTGTACGTTGTGAATTTATAATCGTGTTTTCTTGCAGAAAAGTATAATGCTTCTCGTAAACATTTATTTTCTTTCTATTTTTTCTATTTTTATTTTTTTTCCTCAGGTGACAGCCTCTGTTTACGTCGGGATTATCGTTCCTCCCTGGCGTCGATTTTGACAGAATTGCATTCCTTGCAGCTGAACCTTCTGCACTTTTTAAATCTCTCTCTGTTTTATCTCTCTCCCTCCGACACGCAATTGTACACTTGACCGAGCCGGGGCGCTCGGCTCGCGTTGCACCACTTGCACCGACAAATAATAATCCGCCCCACAGAGTGCAGCTCGGCGCGCGTTTCGCTACGTGTTTTTCTGCCTCTCCGCTCTCTCGCCTCTCTCGTTAATTTTTTTTTTTTTTGCGATAGGGAGTCAAGTAACAGTCCCTCCGACTCGCTTAAATGTGATCGCGAGAAGGAAAGTTCCTCCGCCGTTCTCCGCCGTGTCACTTGGTCGCGAGCAATCGGGCTGCGCTCGACGTTACTCGACATGGTGAGCGAGACGTTTGCACTTAGGTTAGCAAGAGCGACATGATAATGGGACGTGATAAATCGACTTTTCCGAAGCCGCGTTCGGGGTTGAGTAGTCGCGATCGGACCGATCGCACAGTTGCGATCTTTTCGTCTTCGGTCTTTCGTCGTTTTGAAAGACTTTTTCTAATCCAACTTTGAGTTCGTCGACGAACGTTGCTGTTTAATCCTCGAAGTTGTATACGTGATTTGTTGACATTATATTTAACATCAATATGTATGTGTATTAGTCTGTAAATTGATGCGTAATTTTATTATGTAAAATGGAAGTTGTAAAAGTTCAAAATTGCAGGAGGGTCTTGTAGTCGATTTTATATGATGTGTAATACATATAAATATAATAAATACGATTTTATATACATATATATATAATCTAAAAGTAATACTGCTTTTGCAATTAAAAAATCTTCATATATTCATATATATATATATATATATATATATATATATATATATGTATGAATATATAAAGATTTTTTAATTGCAAAAGCAGTATTACTTTTAGATTGATCATTTAATCTTGTGTGCAGGATGTGTCGGATGGTATAGACAAATCATGGGATCATCCATGGACCACCGAGGAGATGCGGAAGAAGAGGAGGGAGTGGAGTCTGGCGGGTGATGTCGGGCTTCTTAAACATCTTCAGCAATTTTCCGAAGTATGATCTACATTGCTTTGCCTTGCCAGCCGTCGTATTCGGTAATTGCATTGATTTTCGTGTAAAATTTTAGAATCTAGTGTCCAAGGCCAACAAGACTCAGGCTGCTCTGGACACGCTGACGACGCAGTTAAAAGAAACGGGGATACTAGTGGACAATGTTACCAATACATCCCTGGCACTGGCAAATACTCAGTTTATCGAGAGTCGCGTGCAGGAGGACGACATAGAGACTAAGGAGAATTCTGAGGAGAAGCAGGAAGTAATCGAGAATTATAATTTATAATATTTGTGTTTCGATATAATGCACCATTTTTAACAAAATTCGTGCCTTCTAACATTTGGATGAAACGAATTTTTAATATTTTTACATTGTGTTATCAGAGTGCAAAGGCTCAGAATTCGACGCCGGAGAATCTCTTGGCCAGCATAAGCGAGAGCGTCAAGCAAGGTTTAAACATAATGGATGAAAAGTACAAAGTAATGGATGTCGCTTGCAGCGACAGCGAAGAGGAGGACGACGAGGGTGGCGCGGTGGTATTCAGGTTAGCGTCCTTATCCGCCGTACACATAACATTTGCTTTGTGCTAAAATTTATATTTCAAATCAAATTTCGGTTCACAGTGTTATTGTGGGACCCAATGATCCATATCAAGATCGGCCCTTGCCGTACGTTATCGGCTCCGATAAGTGGATAGCGTCGAATAAGATAGGTCTGGAGAGCAGCAGCAGCGAGTCCGAGCAAGCCGACGAGGAGCGGGAGGAGTCGGAGAGCGAGAAGGAGGACGCGGATGCGCGGAAGGTGTTCAACAGTCGGCACAATCCGGAGATCAATATCGCGAGGCTGTCGTCGTCCTCCAGCGACTCGGACAACTACAACGACCACAGCAATAACATATCTTACGGGAATAACAAGGCGGATGCGGTATCTCAGAACAATATAAATTCCGCCTCGGAGTCCGCCACACCTAATACTGTATCGAAGGTATAGCTGATCTTGTAAACCTCTTTCATGATATTTGACACTCGAGATTTGGTAATTTTTATATTTTAAAGATGCTACAATTATTCTTCTCTTTTCTTTTGCAGACATCGAATGAAACGGCGCCCAATTTTGCGGAGGAGTTAGCCAAGCGACTGGGCACGGTTCGCCAAGCGCAGAAGCCTACCGCCGTGGATGAAAGCAGCGAATCGTCGATCAATCGATTTAAAGGTACGCAGTTAACGACACTTATTGGCAAAAATATAAGTCTAATAAATAAAATATTCCCGAGATTATAATTGACCGTTTAAACTTTTCTACAGATGATCTGTTTGCGTCCGAGAAGGATGAGGATGTGTTCAACGGTTCTGACAATCTGTTTAGCGATAAGAAGAGTCTCTTCGACGATCAGGTGTCCGCCAATCTGTGGAAGGAGAGGCCGATCAAATCTTATAAGAACAGTAATATTATGCCAGCCAGTATCGACGTGCCACCGCCGATTAGCATAGTTTGTAAGTATTTTTATACTTGCCTCCTCGTTTATCGCCATCGCGATAGGTTTACCTTTCTAATTCAACCGACACTTTCAGCGACAAAGCCAAAGTCAGCGATCGACGATTTATTTGCCGATGCCGATTCGGAGGAAGACTCGGATGACATTTTCTCGTCTTCGAAGAATGTCAAGAAACGCACGAAGGAACCTGCGAGCGATAATCCCGTGGAGGACGTACCGCAAAAATTCTTGGACGTTATAGCCACCGGTAACATGGCCACGAGCACACCGGAAACCAACGTCAAGGCCACGAGCCTGTTTAGCGACGACGAGAACGACGATGCAGATCTGTTCGGCAACTCCAAGAAGCAGCCTCACAAACCTACGAGTGAGTCATCGTCTACGAATACGTCTCAGGAACCAAGTAAAAAGGTAAGCTGCTGGGCTAATTTTTTCATAAAACTGTTATATATATTTGACGACTGTTCAATCACTGAATATCTCTTATTGCTAATTTAATTTCACTCATTGATATCATTACATATTTATTACGCTGTGAATCTTTCAATTTAATATTAAAACTCTTAATTTGTATTGTTATACTAATCTTTTTTGATAAATAAAATTAAAATTTACATTATGTAAAGATAAAACTATTATAAGATACTATTATTTTATTATGAGATATATTATATTTATTATAATACTTGTATAGTAATTATATTCTATTAATAAAAAGGATATAATTAATTTGAGGATAAATGAATTGCAGAAACCCGTCGGAGGCGAGTGGATACTCGGCAACGTTTTGGCGTCGGACATCGAGAGCAAACTGTCGAGTCGGATAATGCAACGACGACAAGAGTCGTCGGAATCTTCCGATAGCGACGCGCCAGGAAATTCTGATAGCGCGACTAGAAGCAACATTGAGTCCACGACGTCCATGGCCACGAATCGCAGTTCACAGAATCCACCGGAGAATATATCCACGAGCGCCGGGAGCATCACTACCAGCAGCGGGATATCGCTGCAACCGGCCAGCATCGATAACACAGCTGGATCCAATTTGTGGTAAGTCGTCCTTTTTTATTAATTTCATTTCTTTTCAAATTAACTAGGGCGTTCTGTAATTGAATATGGATAATAATATATCGTTACGATTACGCTAACATTGTAAAGATCGCGGTTTTCTTTAGTCATATTTCTTCGCTATCACGCATCATGTATTTTAAAACAGAATTATATTCGCGCTAAACTTTTCGATTTTCTGTCAAATTCAAATATTTTTTGAATGCTTTTGGAATGTATAAGGTGTCATACACCAGTTGCGCGCACGAAAGTAAACGTTAACTGCATTAAATTGAATGACTCTCTCAGGCAGTTAAGTTACATTCCGCGGAGTGGAAACGTATCCGACGTGACACACGATACCAACGTTTCCCGAGGTCAGCACGTAAACAAGGAGAAGAAGCGCCGTGGCTTTTATTGCGTGCTCGCTCACTGCGGGATGAGCTAACGTTGCGCCCAGAATGCAAACGAGAATCGCCGCGAATTGTTCGCCACCGCGCTGGCTGCAGAAACATCTGCAGAGACAGTTAACGCGTTAGAAAAGAGAGGTCAAGTCCGGATTCCTTATTCCACAAATCGCGGGATACGTGCCGGCGCAACGCCGCTCCCCTCTCAGGGACACGCGTGCCACTCTCTTATGGTGTCACTGAATCGATGACCCAAACATTAGTCATTCCGCCTTGCCCATTACGCGCGCTGCTGCACAACGGCGCGTAAATACCATGGCTAGTCCAAGGCGAGCCTCTCGGCAGCGCGGCCGAATGTGTCGACTGTCGCCAGTTGTTGACTCTCGCCGTCACGAGTTGAGCTCTCTAGCCGTTTAATCGTCACCAAGAAATGAAGACGACTTGTAGAACGCTTGAGAACTAATTAGTGATTCGGTCTGAATTGATTAAAAAAAAAAAAGAAGAATATTCAAAGTGCGAGCTGTTGTGCACGAAAGATTTTATATGGCATAATCGCTTTGCGGACTATTTCTCCGAACTTCGACGAATGGAAGGCAAGTAGAAAATGCGACCGGCGCGGGTCGTGCTCCGATTAATTTGTAACAAAGCGGTGGTTTATTCGCTTTCTTCGAAGCCGTAGCTTTTCGCCGACGTCGATAAAATGAATGGCAAGCGCAAGCGGGAATCGTAAGGCGATGAAAATCGGTCGGGTGAATGGATTCGCGCGAAAGTGGCGTTAATGTCGCGCCGGATTGTGCGCCGGAGGCGCTAAACACTTCTTCATTCGGGCTTGAGGAATTTACGGGAAAGTGGAGACCGTTCGAGAGGGGAAGTGGCTCTCGTGCGACGGAAGTGTGAACTGGGAGTAATGAGGAACGGAGAAGATACGTATATCCGGATAAATCTCGGTTGCGTCGCGTTTATCGCCACCGAGATGCGACGTGATTCTTTAGCCGGTCTTAAATAGGCAATAACAAAAGGCAATCGGTAGAAGCAGAGCATTTTGATGAATTCGGCAAAAACGGTATTTATTCATAACATTTCCAGATAAAGAGTACGCATTGTTACGCGACGAATCTTACTCAGGCATCGCTACAGGGTTACCGGCGGGTTGTCGACGAAGATACGATGTGTAATCGGGTGTCTTATAACGCTCACAGACCGCTTGTGGACAGCAATATGGATAATTTTTGCTGTCATCCTGGGGCAGCCAATGTTTTATTCTGTGAGTTGCAGCCAAATGACTGCAATCGTATCTAGGGCATCTGGAAAGAAACAAAAGAGAACATTGGATTATGGATATTCGATAGAAAATTTCTTTTAACATTAGCATTTGAAATCGCGACAAAATCTCATAATTATAAAGATCCCATTGCGAAATAGAGAATGCTGTTAATTATTAAGAATATATCAATTAGATGAGAAGGGAGACTTAGAAATGTGAAATTAAATAATTCTGTATTAAAATTAATTTTCTTATTTTCTATGAATATTTTCTTTAAAACGTAGAGTGAAAATCATACGAAACTAGTTCTTTTTTAATTTTCTATAAATGGTTTTTTACTTATACGAGATTGTTTACGAATTTTAAAGTTTGACAAATAGAACTTAAGAATCATGTGAAAAAATCCATTGTTTCTTGCTTCTTAGGCACATCTTCCTTCATTGATTTACAATTTAAATGACTAATCATATACTGCCATCGCATACATTTGCATTAAAGCGAGGATCAGAATAATTGGTTATCAGAGAATCGTTGCATAACAGCAAATTTTTCCGCGATGACAAAATTTGACGTCAAAAGTTATTACTTAACTAATGCATAAATTTTCATTTTTTTTTTAATTCTTTGAGTATTAGAATTTTCCGGGATGCGCGTGAAATTTTATATCCAGTTGCATACAGTTACACTAGATAGAAAGATATATATAATCTTATATGTTATATTAGTTACATATAATTGCGTATAACGTTTCGACTTACGAGTGGAAAGTTATTTGACCATTCATATCACAAATCATCTCCATGCATGGATGAAACGTATGTGAGCCTATACCCAGAATTTCAGATCCAAACAGGCAGCCATCTAAATACATAATCTATATAAGTAACATCCGAGAAAGTATTCGAAAAATATATGATTCATAAGCTTCTGTTCATCTTCGCGCTCTTCTATCTAAACGCGACCACATTGGTTTCGGAATGACCATCTAGTTTACAAATCCGTCAAAGCAAATTTGTCATTGAAATATCAAGGATGCATATAACATGCGTGACAGTCTCATTGTTTGCGTAGCAGGAGTCTTTCGAGAGAATACCAACGGCTAAAATCGCGTCTCGTTCCTAGATTTGCTATAAATTGTTCTACACAGATTTAATTTTGCAACCTTCGGAGCGTATCTTTCCCTTAGCAATATTCTCCTAGTCGGCGAATTATGTAACGTACCTCGTACTTGCGTAGCAAGGGGATAGGCCTCGGCCTCAGGCTCAGGCTCAGCCTCAGCCTCAGCCTCAGCCTCAGCCTCAGCCTCAGCCTCAGCCTCAAATTCAGGGTCGGAGTGAACCTGCGCCATGCACATCAGCAACAGGATCCCGCAGACGTAACCCTTCATCTTACACTTCTTGCTTAGGGAGTCACTATGAACAAGAGACGATAATAAACTCAAAAAAGTCCGATTTTTATATACCATTTCTCCCTCCTTTGTGATGTCTCTAGGAGAATCTTAAGCACGAACCGGCGTGAAGCAAAACGTACGATACCGCACGTGGCGATAGTATAAGAAGATTAAAAGAGGATCAAATTAATATCAGGCTTGCAGGCGTCACTTAAGCACGACCTCATCATTAAACATAGTGCACTTATTCCGCATATATTAATTTTATTTCGCAAATATTCGTCATTAATTATATTCGTGTCTTTTACGAGATTTCGTTACTGAATTTAACATCCTGTTTTCTGTATCTTTTATGTGTATGCGATACGTGTCCTGATGGAAGATCTTTTTTCAGTCTTTACTAATGGAATGTTCTGATTAAGAAATTCGGTTCGACATAGAATGATCTAAAATTTAAAAAATCGAAAGCGTTTATTTGTTGTAACGATTTTGATCCTTTTTCAACAGAAACGAAACGAGTATCTTACATTTTTATATCTTGTATTGTCTCTATGCAGAAAAGGTTGACCGCTCAGATTAAATTGAAAGAACAGTTCTCTCTCTCTTCTGCATCGTGCTATTAAAATTGATAATTTAAGAAGATCATAGACGTACATATTTTAATTGCCTCTTCTTTCGAGGAAGTGATATTTGAAATCGGGAGCGGTTTATAAACAAATCGCCGAAACGAAAAAACTCGTGCTAAAAAGCAAAAATACGAGTTATTCCGCGATAAAGCCGCCCACCAGAAGCGCTCTCAGTTGTTTCGTCAATTATCTGGCGCAGCATACATATCAAGCGCATTATGCATAACATTAAGCAAGGCTCGAGTTGTCGTTTATCACTCGGCGCTTGATTATCGCTGGAGCTCAGACGACGAATTTTCGAGCGAGGACAAATTTTCGTCAGCTCGAATGCTTTTACTTCTATCAATGGCACAAGGAAAGATACATACACAGAGTGACAATTGGGAAGTCACTGAAGGCTAAACGGCGATGATTTTGTAATAAGTAAACGGAATATATTGAATTTTATTTTGTAGAAGAAACCATCATTTTTATTAGCACATCAATGGAAAACAAATTATATTAGATAGATAGATATATTAGATAAATAGAATAAATAAACGATAACATATTTTCTCTATATATACGCGCTATTTATTTCCGATTTTGATTGAAAGACGAGTAATATTATTTCTCGCATTATCGCTCAGTTCGTAAAATAACAAGAATCCTGGCCTTTTTTTAGGGTGAACTTCCAGCCGGGGATGTGCTCGACGAGGCTCAAGTCCGAGGAAATCTATCGCGAGCGTGTTACCAGTGACAGTCTCTTCGCGGCACAAACTCGCCATCCTGCTAACGCCAACAGCGACAATCAGCAGCAGCAGCAGCAGCAATCGGGACAGGATATCTCGTCGGCGTTGCTACAGGACGACGTGTTCGAGAACGACGATCTGTTCGGACCGCCGCCGTTACCTAGCAAATCGGACTCGAAGCGAGCGACCAAGTCGAAGGTCTCGTCGCTCTTCGACGACTCCGATTCCGGCGACGAGCTCTTCTCTGCCGCGAGCTCCGGCTCCAGATCGCAGAAAAGCACGGATTACCACGCGACGACGGTGTCGTCGTCGAGCGACCGGACGAAGCCAGCCCCGAAGAGTGGCGGCCTGTTTGACGACGACGTGGACATATTCGGCGGCAAAGACGCTCCGGACGTCGATATATTTGGAGTGGCATCGAAACCGGCTTCGAGGGACGCGGCCCCGAATAGCCTGGGCTCGATAGCGCCGAAGAGCAGCAGTAACGGTAAGTAGAGCACAGTGCCTTCTAATTTCTTTAATTTCCTGTATGAATTACATTTTGCTTCAGCGCGACAATATTTCTTTTTTTTTTTTGCAATGCAATCCTAAAATACGGAATTTTTATTTAATATTTTATTTTTAATTTTTGCGAAGTTTTTTTTATCAATTTTAATATTTGAGAATTGGAGATACTAAGATTACTTTTTATTAAAAAAAATATTTTCTTTTAAATCAGACATTACGAGCGTTTGTTTGAAATAAAGAAAACTTGTTACATGTTTTTCCACAAATATCACTTCGTGAAAATTTAAAGAGTGTGCGTGATAAAAGAGAGATCCAAATCGTTAGATAATTCGCAAAACACGAGGATGGAACCAAAGAAGATCAGCCTGTTCGACGATGACGACGACGATGGCGACCTGTTCGGCGCGACGAAGCCGACGAAGTTGAAGAACGACCGTAAGACTAATCTTTTCGAGGATGACGATGGTCTATTTCTATCGGCCAAGGCTACCTCGATAGAGAAAGATGCAGCAGCTGAACCAAAGATCGACGTCCCCAAGAACGTCTCTAGTCTCGAAACCGAAAACAAGAGCAGAAACGATCCTCCGGATTATTTGGACGGACTGTTTTCGAAAACCACGAAACCCCTTCTGTTCGAGGACGACGATTACGACGATCTTTTCGGCAAGAAGGACACGGCGCCGCGCAAAGACGATCGACCGAAATCCAAAGAAGAGGCCAGAAAGAACGTTGTCGAGCAGGCGCAGAAACTCCCCGAGGAAAATAAAAGCCCGGTGAAGTCGTCAAGTTCAAATCGTGACAACGTCGAGGCGACCGTAGAGTCGAGCGCAAGGGGCGACGTGCACGAGGAGAAGAGAGCGGCCGAAATCAAGGAAACGTCCTCCAACGTCGAGGAGGACGGCACGGCGAAGAAGAATTCTCCACCGAGAACCCTGAGCATCCGGACGATCTCGCCGCCGTCCGAGGAGCACGGCAATCAAGTACCCCGACGTTCGGTGTCCGGCAAGATAAAGAACCTAATGGGGAAGATGGGTGACTTTAAGATACTCTCGCCGATGGACGCGCCGCCGTTGTGGAGGAAGAGCGAGGATAAGACGGACGAGGACGAGGACGTCGTGGACCAGGACAGCGGAGATCTGGGCGTCAGTGGTCACGTTTCACCTCCGAGCGTATCAGGTAGTTATCGTTTTCTGTTTGCAAAAACGTCCCTTAATTCTTTTGATCTTTAATCTTAGTCGCAGATTAAAAGAAAGTCTTATATATCACGAATTTGAAAGTACGAAGATAAGTTTACGAGTGATATAATTTACATAACAATGTATTAAATATTACTTATAAAACATGTGTTATTTTAAATTGCAATAACGTCCATTATAGTGGATTACAGATAGATTAATGTTTTGTTTAGGATGTTTATTAAATTAATCAAAATTTTTAATTGAAGTGAAGAGATAATTTAAATACAATTTTTTTTTACAGAAGGTAGCGCGAAGAAGGAATCCTCTTACTCGACAATTTCCACCGCTAGCAACGCGGAAGTAGCCATAAATTTCGATGATCTGGCTCAAGTAGAAACGTTATCCACTACCGCATCCAAGGTGCTTGTCAAACTAAATTATTATATTGATTTATTTAATTAAGTTATATATAAATATTTTTTTATACAACTTTCTGGGAATAGAAAACAGACATTAAGAAAGAAAATAAGCTTTCAACACGCATTTCTTTGAAATCGAGTTATTAACTTCTCTTGCGATTCTGTCTTTAATTCCGAGACGCGACAGTGTATTTTTAAGATACTTTGAAATAATTCGCATTTTATCTTTCTCTTAATTTATTGTGTCCATTTTCTTGTTCAGAGTCGAGTGAGAATTCAAGCGAAACGCCGTCCTCAGAGCCGACACGCCCGGAAATCCGCGCTGCGACACAGCGGCATCGACTTCGACACGGTCGACAACGCGGACAACGATAATTCTCAGGAGGAGAGTCACACTAGCACCTGCTCGTCCAGCAAGGACCCATCTGCCGCTCCGACGATCAGCGTCTCCGATCGTTTGACCGCCAACGACAGTGTCCAACGCGCGGCGGTCGATCCTTCATCCACGGACGACAGGTCCGAGCTGGGTAGCATCAGCAAGGAGAGCTCGATGAGCGTGAACAAGAACACCCTGTTGTCGCCGTCCACCGACGAGGAGGACTTGTTCGACGTGCCACCGGATTTGCCGGAAGACCCGCAGAAGGAGGACGCTTTGTTCGGCAGGGCGCCGATACTCTCGCCGATCGACGGCGGGCAATCTGACAGAACGCCCGTTGCTGTCGAAAATACTTTAATAAATACCGCGATCAGAAAGATCGATGACATTGATACCGATGTGAACGCGACGACGAAAAACGAAAATGATAAACAAAATTCCAGCGAATTGGCGCGCTCGGACGTCGGTATCAAGTCGGACACGTCGAAGAGTACCAAGAAGAAGGATGACAAGCAGAAGGAAGTGGTCGATGATGAGTCGCGAAGTGAGGCGAGAAGAGCGTCCAGCGAGGAGCCGAGCGATCCTCTGCGCGACAGCACCCACGATCCGCTGAAGGATCCTAGTCAGTTGTTCGCGTTTGTCACGAAGACGCCATCGCCGGAGAAAAACAAAGGACTGCTGTTTTCCGAGCCGGACGACAGCCTCTTCTCCAGCGGCTCGACGAAGAAGCCGAATGAGCCGAAGAAGGAGACCTTGGATCTGTTCGCGGACGATGAGATGGGCGGCGATCTATTTTCCGCGGCGCCGTTGAAGAAGACGGTGAAGAAGCCGCTGCGGGACACGAAGATCGGGCTGTTTGGCGACGACGACGACGCGCAGAACGGCGAGGACGACAGTCTCTTCGGCAGCGCGTTGTCCAGCAAAGCGAAGCAGCTCGACAGCCAAGCGTCAAATTCTGTTTCAGTCGGGCGAAAAAAGAACAATCTTTTCGACGACGAGGACGACGACGATTCCAGTCTCTTCGTTGAGTCGTCCGGCCATTCGCAGAAATCGGACAGCGCGTCGTTCTCGGAGCCTAAGCACGACAACGCCCAAGTCGACTCTCAAGCCAAGAGCTCGAATCTGAAGGATATATTCGGCAACGCGCCGTGCGACGACTACGTCGATCTTTTTGCCACGAAGAAAGTTGTTCCTAAGAAAGTCGCCGTGCCGTCCAAGTCCCTGTTCGCGTCAGACGACGACGACGACGACGACGACGACGGCCATATCTTCGGCAAGCAGCCAGTCTCCGCGTCGGCGGAATCGAAGGCGAGAACGACGGCGACGGCGATCGCGCCGAGTTCAAGAACGGCCGTGAAGAAACCGGTCACCAGGGACCTGAAGAAAACGGCCGAGAAAATCGTCGAGGATCCGCTGAGCCTCCTTCAAGACGACTAACTCAGTTCCCTTAAAATAAGTATCCGTGAGATTTTTTATTAGCCACACAACGCTTAGCCACAAAAGTCCGATGAGAAGTTCGCCTTTTGTTTTGCCATTTCTTCAAAGAATCGTTTGCCACAATTGTACGTATGAATATGTGTGTGTGTGTGTGCGCGCGCGCGTGAGATTAAAATTAATTTATTTAACATGCTAAAATTATTTAATTTTTTTCAGCGCATAATATTCAATTTTCGTATCAAACAATCATGCGTAATACTAAATAATTTGCATTAAAACTGTCTTTTTTTATATTTATGTTTTAATTTGTATTAATTTTACAGAAGGATAATACGTGATGCTATAAAATGTGTGCATGTACGGAATGTTTCAACGAATCGAATAGACTTTTGTGGCTTACGCGTATATATAGAATATATATATATATATATATGTATATATATATATATATATATATATGTGTGTATACATATATATTTTATTTATATTTTGTTAGCTCGCTGTCTATAATGCAAAGAATGTTATATGCTGGAGGAACGGGTAGCGTGCAATTCGCAAACAACGGAGAATCTTTATTTCCTCGCTCCAGCCTATATTTATTATATCGCGAGTCAGATCTGTGGATTACCTGCTTACTTTATGCGTGCCACATTAAAGAGAGAAAAGTCTTGTCTTATTATACTGACGAAGAGTTACAATAGATCTGGAAGAATATTCTCTCTGTTTTTTTCTCTTTTCAGCATTTATTCGGAATACAACGAACGTGTAATCCGGTTGTCACATCCGGCTGTCCGATCGAGAGTACCATTGTGAAAGTCGCACCTCACCCGTGCAATAATAGATGTATATTTTCTGTACCATCCCGCCCTGTTCATCCCGCGCGTAAATTCTCGCCCTCTCTCGTGATTTACGTCATATGTATATACTATTATTCCGATATGAGTCACCCACGTTAGTACAATAAAATTTATTCGACGACCACGCGCAGTGATGTAATCTCGCAATTCTTTTAATCCTAGGTAAAACATACCGCTCGAAGTGACCCGTCCAAGCCTCCTCATCTTCCCGCTCTCCCGCCCCTCCATTTACTTCGTGAAAATATAAATGGAACGTAAACTTCACAAAGAGTAGATACGTGATGCAATGGTTCAAGTTGAAAAAAGGAATCAATTGTCGTATGCTGCGTGTGGATAGGTAAGAACAAAATTATATTTATTAGACACGTGTTCTCGATAAGTACATATTTTATATATTAATCGTATTTCGCCGAGAATGAAACGCATCATCGTGTACATATGAGCGTACATGTTAGCCGTCTATCAACGTCATTGCATGTCCATACGTTGTTACTGAAAAATCATTGCGTGTTATCGGCGTAATACTCGAGATAAACTCGAACGTGTGAACATTTTCAAAATGAAAATTTCGAAGGCTCACGTTTCTTCGCTTATCGCCCATCGACGATACGATACGAAACAAAAGATTACGAAATAGGTTACAGCGACTTATGAATATTAATTATATAATTAACACGGTAACGTTACTTAATCGCGCGAAACCACATTGAGAAATTCAACTCTATGTGCTTTGACGCGATGAAAGAAGTAATTATTACAATCACGATGAAGCTTGAGAGTTTTAAATTTTTTAAACGCATCGAATTCTGCATGTACCTCAAAGATTAATCACGCACTTTGTCAAGGATGTGCAAAGTGAACTGAGACTATACTTTGCGTTTGAATAAAAAAATACCGCGTAAAAAAGAAAAACGGTAGAAATTCGTCTAAAGAAAATCTTGATAAGACGAAAGGGATTTTTCGATATTTTATTGTTTGTATTTATAGAAACCAATGCGGCGTGTTTTACGCCAGCAGGCATTTTATTTGAGGAATCTGCGTGACATTAATGAGAAAATGTGAAAATAGGTATGTAAGTGAAAGAAAAGGGATTGAATAGGTAAAGGGAAAACTGAGAGGATGTGTGCTTGGAAAGGCTTAGATAAATGAAGGTATCGAGGAGCAGAATTTTTTTAGAAAGGATACTTTTCTACACTTGCCTTTTTTGTCGCAATCAATTTTTTAATTTTCTCTTCTCCGATTTGCCCTACAATAAACTTTATGATTGCGTTTATTAGTATCCACTATTCTCGGGCAGAAAGACTTGCATTTAGTTATATAGTTACTCGGTCACGGCTAAAACAGGTCGCTCCTCTGTGAGATCACAAATTTGTGCTAGCGCTAGAGGATCACGCCTTTAGCTACGTGACCGTGATAATATCGTAGACTGGATTTTAAAAGATATCCGGATCCACGCGTTATATTGATATATTATTAATAATTAATACATCATTTTTAATTATCATTTAAATTATTGATAATCATTTATGAATTATTTCGAGGAATTTTTCAAGAAATACACAGTTTCATTCATGAAACGTACAATTCAGCTAAGAAGTTAAATAACTCTCTGGTAATCAATTATTACATTTTTTCATAAAAATTTCAAGCATTAATGACAATTAATTTCTGTTACTTTGCGTCTCCACCAATATGATGTCTGATGACGTATATAGAAAATTCACAGAATACGCCACGTGGTGCAGAAATAGTATTAAAATCCAGCGACGATAATCCGACACGTTTAGTTACCTTCGTTGAAGTATAGATCGCTGTACATGGTTCTCTTACGTAGAAAATAATTTCTATGCAAAAATATATACGTTTACAGAAGCGATTATATGTCGTAATCCAGACTAGATCTCGCGAGTGTTTCGGGAAAATCGAAACCGATTTGCGCTTAATCACTGGTTTATAAAATATCGCCTCTGATTGACAAACGCATCGCGATACATCCAATCAATGTGGTGTGACACACATACAAACACACACACACACACACACGTATGCAATTACATAATAGACAAAAAATATCTCTCTCGAATATACATATGTATATATATATTGCACAACGCACTGCTCATTAAAAAAAATTATGCTAAATTTACTGGTCCGCGATTTCCTGAAATAAATTTACTTGTCAAGTCCGGCACAGATTCGGATCTGTAATTATATAACTCCGTGCCCATCGGTTACGTAATCGACGGACTAGCGAAGTCCGACCGATTTTCACGTGGACGTATTATTTTCTAAACACGTGACTTTACACAGAATTAAATTTGCCTAATTGCAATAGTCGTCGTGCGCATTTACCGCTTTATCTCGTACCGCGCGTCCGAGCCTCATTTATCCAGAATTTGTTTACGGGGGATAAATTTAGATCTTTAATTAAACTTGAATCGTTTATCAGGGGGAAAGCTTATCAGAATTTCGAACCAAGTTTGGCAGGGGAATTAAAATTACATCACATAAAGATGTATTATTTCATTAAGATTCGTGTCTTTTATTTTTATTGATCTAGTCTTCGATCTAATTTCTAGAAACTTTTGAACGGGACTTTTAATAGGCAATGTGGACATATGAAATTCCGATAAATGAAGCGACATCGGGCGCGCGAATAAAATCGGGAAAAATATAGCGCGCTCTGCCGCACGAATCTCTCTAAACAAATACGGATTGCCATGCTCAGAGGAAGTTGGCATGAAAAACGTAGACAGACGATACACAATAAATCTAAATACAATACGTAGATGTAATTTGTAAATATAAATATAGATTTTTACGCGCTAAGTCTTACGTATACAATATATCGCTCTATGTATATTTTAGTCCAAAATATCTTCCAGAGATATGAAAATGCTGAATATACAAATCGCGGTATGCCCCGACCACAAGTATTGTGATGCGCGGATGTGTAGCTGCTGGTACAGATTATCTCTCCCGCTGCTTAATCGTGATTCCCCCCCCCCCCCTTAGAAAGTTATCAAGCGACGGCTTTTGTAATTGTAGGTACGTATCTCGAGAATGAAATGCACGTGATTTTCTCGCGTAATTTTTAGCCATTCCCTGATAAGCAACAAAGGTATATACATATCGATGACGGAATTCTGTCGAGAAACATGCTTTTAGTCGCTGACGTTCACATTAATGAAAAGTAAAATTTATGTATAAATATAGATTGTTTTCCAACAGATTTATAACGATATATATGTTTTTTCTATTTTTTTTCTTACAAATCTTACAATCAGCATTAATTAATCTCGAATTTACACAATACTTTAACGTAATTAATACTGAGAATTATACAAAATTACGAAATATACAAAATGGAAAGGTTTCGCTATCGATATATATATATATATGTTTTCATAAAGAAAGGCTTTAACAACAGGATATAACAAAATTAATTAAACCTGACATTCGTTGCGCAATTTAATTTCACAGACATACGCAAAATTGTTCTTTTATGTATATATGTATATATATATTAAATATATTATATAAATTTATATAAAATATATATATTTATATATATATACATACCTATATATATATATATATATATATATATATACACATATATGTATATGTAAAAATGATTCTTACGTGTAAACATTCAAAAGAAAAGATAAAAAATTTCGAAAATAGCGATAGAAAAACAGATTGTTACTCAAGATTTATTTTATCAAAAGTATTCTTTTTTTCTCTACTTTCGTGCGTTCTGCGTCCGCTTGATTAATACAAAATCGTAGAAATCTCTCGGTCTCAATTCATATACACAGTTTACTTATAACGGCATACAAAATTACGCGGACGGTATTGAAAATTATGTATGCATCGAGTTCAGTCGTTATATTCGTTTTTCTTGTTTTACTATATAAAGTCTATCTTCGACGCACCGCGTCGAAAGAAACCAGTCATTATTTCTACTCGCACGTTAATAATTATATATATGTGTGTGTGTATCATCTACTTTCTACAGGATGTTTCTAAAAATCATCGCGCGTTCCTTCAATCACGACGATTCAGAAATCTGCATCCGTGATTGAGGAAACGTCCGGTGGCTCTGAGAGACACGTACGTAAATATAATATAAGTGCAATCTCGTAGGAATCTCACAGGTATTTAATTATGCGCTCTACTTCGCATTAAAAATCTTGGGAAATGTACTCGAATCCGCTGTGCTAAGGCAACTTCATAAGTCTTTCCGAGCTTTGTACCTTGGTCAATCTGTCTTTATTACCTAACTTGTGATCTATTTTAATTGTCGTTTCTTCAATAGAAAATCGATCCTTTTGAAAAAGATATAAAAATCGGAGGATCGCGCAGTTATTCTCAAATGTCGATAAAAATCACGTATCCCTCACCGAGTGCATTTCATTCGTCGCTTATACACACAAGTCAATTTGTAGTTTTTTTTCGGTAAGAATGTTCGATCAGCTCGAAGAATCAATTCTTATTTGGTCTTGGACTCATCTGAGAGAAACGCAGGCATGACGAAGCGAACGCTAACTTTGAGTGCCTTTTAAGACTTTAATTCGTGGCGGGTCGACCGCAAACGTCTACGAATGTTGGCAAGATATAGTTTGGGATGGTATTGGAGGCGGTAGAGGTGCATTCTCCTCGTGGATCATCACTAGCTTGCCGTATTTCACCATTCTTCTCCTCTTGCGCTGTAAGCAGATCAAACGGAGATTGCGTTATATAAAAAAGTATTCTGATAAATCTTAATAAATTTCGCGGTGTCTTCTTAATCCTTCTCACCTGCGATTCAGTCCAACTGCCGTTGCTGCTTCCGCTGTCGCTTCCGCTCGACGTAATCCCGTCCTCGAGGATGAGCTCGGTGCCGAAACCTTCCACCTCCAAGTCCAGGTAGAGCTGTCCCAGTTGATCGTTCACCAGTAACGGCTGATTGAAGTTCTTCATCGCGTCTAGATCGGCCTTCAGCACCTCGTTCAGTGTCTTAGGATGCATCTGGTACTCGTAGATCAACTCCGGCGTCAATTGAACGCCCTCCAGCCAGGACGGATCCCTCCTTCGCATCCCCTGATGGCACTTGGTGTGCTCCTGCGCATTTATTATAATCGTATAGTCAAGTACACGGATATTTGTGGACGTCACAAGTCTAAAGAAAGACGTACGAAAGATCGAGACGCCCCGTGGACGTCTTTCGAGCATTGCGCCGTTTGATTTTCTACCTCGGAAGAGACCTCGCACGTCTTCTGATCCGGATTGCAGCTGCTGTCGCTCTTGTACAGGAGGCTGCTATAGAAGCTGGACGAGCTCGACTCGTCGCCGTTGTAGTCGCTCGGCCGGCGATGGTCCTTCACGATCACCGGCGTTAGGAGGTCTACTACGCTCGAGCAGCCGCCGTCGTTGCTCACGCATGACGAGAACAGCTCGCCGGGCGATAGAACCTACCACAGTTAGCGGTGTAAGCTAATGTCTTATTGAAGAATCAAAGCTACCGACATTAATTCCATGAAACATTGATTAATTAATTTCATCAAAGCTTCAGTTGTTATAGAAAACATTTTTTCAATTATCTTCTACGAGAGACAGCTTGTATATACATACAGTGAAATACACAAGAATCACTTGATCATTTTACCTTCTTGGAGGACTCGGACATAGCCATTATGCTCCCCGGCTCGGCCTTGACGCTAGTCGCTTGGCTGGCTGGTCGTTTGTGATCCGGACACTTGTCGTTGGGTGTAGGCTGCTGGTTCTCGCGCGTCGTTGCCGGTGCTTGCTCAGGTATCAGGAAGGGTCGGTACATCATAGTACGCGGTGGAGGTGCGCCAATCATCGCCGGATATATCATCCCGGCCATCGCCGTCGCGACGTAGGATACTGGAGCAAACACTAAAATTTTCTTATAGCTTCCCATAAGAGATCTACATCTTAATATTCGATTTAATACCAATTTAATTTTAAGCCTTTGAAAGCATTTCTTTTAAAAATCCGAATCTACAGATTGCTCCGGGGCAATGTAGAGCAGTAATCGATATTGTCGACAACGAGAATTCATTAAATTTAAATTAATTTTTTGAATTTTCTATTTAATCAAACAACACCTACTGTAAGGATTTTGTTGCGTCGATTGCGCTGACGGTGGTGAGCCCAACTTCTCTTGCGACGGCGACACCGTCGTCGTGGACTCGCTGGGCTGCGGTACCGGCATGTAGTACACCGGTATCATTGACGGGAGTAATGGAAATCTGGGTACAGCCTCCGAGTTGGTACTGGAATATTTTTAAATATGTTGATATAATTATTTTAAATATGTTCATATATTTATTTGTTCTTCATTATTATGCACACTTTCTGAGATTTTTATGTAACATTTGATACAACTGAATGTCTTATAAATCCAATGTTACCGCTCTTTTGTAAAAGTTTTGGTTCAATATTAACAAAGTTAATATATTTAATATAAATAATTAATATTTTCGAGTTGGAGCTCTTACTTTTGGGGTGGAACGGTGGGTTGAATAGGTGCGGAGGAGGGCACGGTAACTGACAATGGAGGCCACAGATTAATATTCGCTCTCGTCTGTATCACGGTGGATTGATCGACACTCATGCTGGTGACGGTGGTTGTGAGGTTCGCCGGACCCGCCGTGCTTGTCCTCGAGATTTTATCGTGCTTCGATACCTGTCTCCATATTATTGTCGCATTTAGACTCGTATAAATTTTATTCAACACCTTTTATATCAGTTGTAGTTATATATTTATTTTATAACACATCTTAAGTATTGGAATTGGAAATTAAAATTTATCCGTTCCATGCAACAAAGCATATTCTGCTGGCGATATCAATTGCGATAATAATAATTCAACAAAGCCCGCTCGGTTAAATTAATTTCCTAAAAAAAATGTAAAGCGCACCTTAAAGCTGTCACCCTCCCAGCTGTGACTGCCGCTCCTCTTGATTCCGTGACCCTGATTGACGTAATGACCACTCTCCGTACCGTTGACCTTCTCCGTCTTGATGCGCGAGTCCTTCAGCTTGTCGCTGTTCTTGATGCTGGAGCGCAGCTCCCGGTGCTTCTGCATCATCAGCTTCTCCATGTCCTCGTTGTGGCGATTCAACAGCGACTCCGTCAGGGTGGGCGGCTTGAAGCTCTCCGTCGCGGTGGTGTTGCTGTTGCTAGCGGTGTTGCTGGCGTCGCCCCGGCTCGCCGAGCTCGTCTGATTATTGGAACCGCTGCTCAGATTCTCCGCGCTACCGCTGCCACTCGCCCCGCTGCCGTTTATCGGCGACATACATTTCCGCGCTGAAAAAACACGACGGGAATTTGTCTCAATGAAATATACGCTTTCGACTAACTCTCGACGCGACATACGAATAAAGATACGGCTGGAAGCGAAGCTGTCGCTTACCGCCTTCATCGTTGCTGGAATTGACGTTCTCCTCGTCGCTGCCGTACATGGTCGCGCACGGCGGTTTGCTCTTGAAGAAGCGCTCGATGTTCTCGTTATAGTTGAGCTGATTGTAACTCGGCGGCGTCTCCGTGGAGGACTTGCTGTCGTAGTCCTCGTGATGGGGCGAGATCTCACCGAGCATCACGCTGTCGTGCTCCTGAAACAAGGGATTGCGTGATCCCTTCACAAGTATATTGTAGAGACTTAATATGAGTTGCCACTGAGCATCGGTATGCAACTTAATACCCGTTACCGTGGTCAGTAGTGCTTTTACGTGGTCGCATTTGCTTTTTTTTTTCTTTTCTTTTTGCGTGAGCGGTGAGATGAGATGCGCCGGCCAGCCGTGGCGGAGATCGGTCTCGGTTAGAAAATTTCGCTAGAAGCTCGTGAAAAATGCCCTTGCTCTGTCTATACTAAAATCATCTACGATCATCCATTCGCAAGCTTGCAAGATCTTGCGGCGAGCGCGGATAATACGTTATTTTACAGCGAAGAGTCAAGCTGGAGTGATCGAGATCATGCGAGCACCTCACCATTCAGATCGCAATTTCTCCTTCGTTGCGTCGAATTCCACCTCCTCCTGTGATTCCTAGATCTTAGTCGATCGACTCGAAGCCGGTAGAATCGCGGCGAGTTCAGTTTTCTTATCGTAGAGGCAGTATAAGACGCCAATTTTACAATTTTGTGGTTTTTTCTTTTTTTATTTTTTATTTTTATTTTTTTTGCGTGCTCCTACGATGTCGAAATCTGAAGCACCAGCGAAATTACACTGCCTTCAATTTTTCTCTACTCCATTCGTATCATTCTTTCCTTCTTACACATCATCCTCATCCTTTTCGTACTTTACCTTTCATTCGACCCTTGAAGAGTACTGAATACTGTTTTAAAAATATGTTAGCAACGAGAAAACGAGAATACTGTGGTTCGACAGCAAAATTAGATACGTGAACATCTTCCATCGTACCGTTGCGAAGTACAGCGTGGCAACTGCACGTTATTGTTATTGTCATACACACACAAACAATACATGCACACTAGGTATCTCTACAGTATAGATATAGTGTTTTATATGTAGCATACCAGAGCGCAGCGCATCGTAGCGTAAGTAATTGGCGTTAAAAGTATTTCGGGGCGATACTAAAACGTAGCTAATAGTCACCGAAAAGCTCCTGAGTTCGTCCGCCGCGAGCAGTCCGTCCTTGCCGACTCCGGGCGCCTTCGTCTCCTGCAGCAGACTCTCCATGAAGGACGCTAGATCCTTGCATCGCTTCGACACGTCGAGCTCGGTTATATCTGACGTTCTATGGATGCTCTGCGCACGTACGATAGAAAAAAAAAACAGAGAGAAATTGGGGGATGAATCACCTTGTTTCCGCTGCATGGTGAGAGGTTCCCGTTTTGTTTTAATTCTCTTTGTCAACACGGTAACACCTTGCCTGTGCGTTTCTCACATACGTACATATATTAAGAATGGATTAACTACCTCGTTTGCCGTGTTATCGGACTTTGCAGGGCGCGTATTAAGCGAGTCCTTTCGCTATTAAAGACAATTACAATTAGAGATCGGCCTCTTTAATTTCAAAATTATTGGAATTGTATATCTCGTTTCATTTAGGGGGATATCATATATAGCTTATAGGGACGTTTCAAGTTTCTTTAGCAAGTGGCTCGGGAATCATGGAGCGAGTAAGTGTTACTGTGATGTCAGTGTAACGCAGTCGCCTCGACCGTACCTCGTCGAGAAGCGCCCGTATCTCGCCCTGGATGATCTTGGCCTCCTTCAACACCTCCTCGCTGATGCTGGCCAGGTAGCCGCACTCGGTGTCGCGCGGCACGCGGAAGATGTCCGGGTCCACCGGTCCCTTGAGCACCCGATGCTGACCTACGACAAACTCTAGTTTTTTCGTCCAGGGATTGATAAAGGACGACCACTCGGTCTCGAGGACGACGCAGCCCCCGTTCTGCACGGCGAACCTGTACGGCTTCGACCTGAAGGAGGAGCCTTCGAGCTTGATCACCTGTTCAACGACATTTGGTAAGGAATTACATGAGTAATTTTACGGTGACGTGAAGGGGGAAATATCTGAACGCTCATTCATCCTCTCTCTCTTTTTCAAGCTCTCTCGCATGTCTCTCGTATTTCTCTTGTCAAACGTGCACGCAAAACGGAATTTAAAATTTCTCCCTCTTTCTCTTTCTCGCTTTTTTTGTTGTTGTTTTTGGCTCATGCTCACAGTCTCATAGATGTCTTTGATGAAAGGTAGATCCTCGGGATGGTAGAAGTCAAACAGCGAACGGCCAACCATATCCTGCGGTAGATAGCCGAAGTATTGGACTACGTCGGGATCGACATGGGATAGGTGGCACGTCGCGGTGTGGCGGGTCGTGAATACCGAAGATATTATTGTTTCTTCTGGCGCTGCGGATAACGATAAGGTACGGGGTCATTCTCTCTCGTCGCAGTGCTACTATACCTTAATGAGCGAGAGTCTTTAGTTATCGCAATGGTTAGATGCCGACAAGCCGGGGTAAAACACGGAGGAGACTCGCGCGTTGTTAAATTAATTAGTTTTGGCATAGTTAAAAGAAAAATAACCCATGCTCGAGAAGCGGATCCAATGCCGTTCAAAATCGTCTCCATATCTGTCCGTTCAGATAAGCTAAGCAACTTTGCACGAATTTCTATATTGATCGGCAGGCAAACTTCATTTTGCGACACTAACTTTATATATCATGCTGCTCTTATAAGAGATATATTTTTTAAATTTATAACTAAATAGAATAATTAAATCATTGAAAAGTAAAATAAATGGAACAAAAATCGCGATATTTCATATTGAAGTTCCAAAGAGTATCTTCGATACAAAACTTAAACCTTTTCAACAAAAGGTTCACCGATGCGAATAAAAATTAATCCGGATAACGAAGCTCGTGCAAAGAATGCGCGTTACAATCGGAGAATGGAAAAGCTTTTCCCATGCGCTGACAAAAAGCGAAGCGAGCGAATCACTTTGCCGTGAAAGATGACGAGTGTGCGATTTGACAACGTGTTGCTCGTGAAATACGAGCGTGTTCGTAACAGTGGTCTCCAAACTGAACGAAAAAAACGGGGGAGAAACCGATCGGACAAATGGCGTGGTAATGGTAACAGCGACAAATATGGCAAAGATGCGAACGGTGTATCAACGTGTACACAATCGTCACGAGCCGTCGCGCGGGCGGCTTTGAGAAATTAGAAGTAGGTTACCTTCGTTTCAGACGTTTTCCATGGAAACCACCGACTCACTGTGAACATCGTCAACGAGGTCGGACCAACGACAAGGCTCGATCACGTAACGAACACAGGACGGTATCTTAAGAACGGTATTATAAACGGTTCAGCGAGAAAACGAAATTATCCGCGACTTTTTATTAAAATATCCTCTGCGTATTTCGGATTCTTTCTGTGAATCCGAGTCACTTCGGAGTTGCTCGTTCACTTCAGCACGCGCTTATTTGCCCACGTCGGAGGGGGATATGTGTTCCCAAGCGGTTGTTATATTTGCAAGCGAGAAATACGTGATGATTTAGTAGGATGAATGTTTGCGGGAAATTTTTTTTCCTCGAAGTAACTCGACTTCGAATCGCTCGGTGGCCCGTGGAGCCTCTTTTTCAGCTCCACCACCGTCTCGCCGCGATTGGTGATCCGGCATTGGTGATCGCTGCGCTAAACCGCCGGTTTGCCGCTTAACTCTTGCGACAATCAAGCCGACTTGTTTGCAATTATCGAGTCCTCTCGCCGGTCGGACCTCGTCGAAAACCTTGGACCATGCTACCTTTGTATGCGGAATGGACGGGTTGAGCGGTAACTACGAGGAACATAGCTCGGTTGCTGGGCTGCTGCTCGGTCGTGCGGTCCCGGAACGACAACGTCAGGTGGAACGGCAGGTACAGGTTCGATCTGGCGTCCGCGCGATATCCGTTCGGCATGGTGCACCTGGTGAACCTCCGCAGTCCGCAGAACAGGCTCGCCCTTCTGCCGTTGATTCCTGAAAAAGTGACATAGTGTTCCGCTTGACGCCAATTAATTCCCGAAAATTGAGAACGAAAGTTTATATAATTCAGCCGCTCAAAACGTATTACGTAACATTATTAACCTTAGAAAAAACTATAATCTACGCTAATAATAATATTCGGAATAAAAATACGCGAAGAAACTTTCGCTATAAGATAGAATATCTGCCGCGAGTAAGAGATAACTCTTGACTTTCTTCTCAAGTTTGTCAGTAATTTTTATATACCCTTAGATTCCTCTTGTGGCGAGGCGATGCCACTGGTGATCTGATCGGCCAGGGTAGTCTTGTCCTTCGGATGCACGTAATCAATGAAGGATCGACCGATCCAGGCATCCTTGAGATAGCCGAGGGCGGTACATATCGACGGGGTTGTGTACAGTACGAGACCGTCGTGCATTGAAATCACCGCGCAAAATCCCTCCTACAGAACGTTTGATAGATTAGAAAGCCGATCGACATAATGTCGCTGATATTAATGTTCTTAACGTGAATGATAACGTGATTTTGTGGATTCTCTTTTTATCCTTCGCACAAAAAAAAACAAGTATTAAAATAAAATGTAGTAAAATATTGATAACGCTAAGAGATAACAAAAAATTAACAAACTTTTGATTATTAAAAATTATCGTAAGCGTTTAAAAAACAAAACTTAATCTGTCACGTTATCACCAGCAAGTTGATGACTTTTCGCGCCCAATTTAATTGTCAATACTTTCATTGCATGCGAGGATTGTATATTAGAGGATTAATTAGTCATAAGAGAAACATCAGTAGAGGAAGAGATATTGTAGGCATTCGTAATTATTCTAGTTTACGTTATTCCCTTTTCTTTCGTTATACCAGTAACATGCAAAAGTTTCTCTGTAAAATTTTCTTGTTGCATGAACGCACACAGTTCTTCGAAGTTTTTTCGAGAACCCGGTGAGTCTTGTGTAGACATGCATGCACACGAAGGACAAGCTGACAAGTAAATCTTATTCATTTTCAATTAGATCTTTTCTTCGTTGACTTTCTTTCTCTTTCCAAAGATCGCGGAAAGTGTGAGAGAGCGTAATCAAATCGAACAGAAAAGTTCGCTGCAGCGCAGACGATTGTCTAACTCACGATCGTATTAACGCGGATAAGCAAAGTTAGCAATTAAGTGGCTTGCATGTAATCGATAAGATCAAGCTGTTAATATCGCACCGATATTCCTGATGTATATTACGTTTGCGGATTATAATGGTAACGGTTTAATAAGTTTAATTATAGAAGCGGTTTAGTAATGGAAGCGCGGCGGGTCACGAGAACCCGAGCAAGCTCTACGATCGCACGGTGCGATTTTTGAGAATCTCTGTCGTTTTCTTTTCTTTTTGCGCCTTCACGACGTGTGCGTGTGCATGTATGTGTTTCCGTTTGTATCTCCTTCTACTACATTTATCGACATATACTAACATTGGCCTGAGACGTGGAATCGTCCAGGGGGATCGTTCGTGAAGCAAGTCCTGTTTCCCGATCTACGACGGTGTCGTCGTTGTGCTCGCCGGGATCCGTTGCGTCCACCAATTCTATGGTGGTTATCTCTTCTTGCATTAAAGCATCAAAAGAAATTCTGTTATATGCTGTTATCCGGATCATCTGCCCGAGACGGCTGTAGGAATGATGACGGAAGGATAAGGAGGAATCGAGCCCAAGTGGCATTATAGCGACGCATTTTTGGATTTGAATTTATGTTCGTAAGTATAACAATTTTATAAAATTGTTATTGTCAAGTAAATTTTTTAAAGTGAATTATATAAAAATAAATTTGCTTTAAATTAGAATCGAGTAGAAAAATAGATGAGTTTCTATAAAATGTAGGAAATCTACTAACTTTTAAATACTTGAAATTAATTTATGTTTAACTTGAATTGCACATTGGGAATTTTATCTCATTTGAATGAGCTAATTCATTACTTTAAAACTTTTTATTATCAAAATAACAGAGAAATATAGCAAATATTGATAAATTTGAAAAAAAAAGCTTTTTTAAGGGGTTTCACCACCCCTGAGGCCTTAAAATAATATCTAAGTTTCGGATTTTTTGTGAATAAATAGATAACTTTATTTAAAAGCTGTTTAGAGGATATTGTTGTATATATATATATAAGAAACTAAAAAAATATTTTATTTTTTTTATGCACAAAATGGCGATGCAATGACCTACTTGCGGAATTCATTTTTTCTGTTTTTTTAAATTGGTGTACAGGATTCCAGGCATACGGTTTGCTTTTGAAAAAAACAAAAAGAATTTTCATTATCTATATATTAAAGCCTATAGAGGTACGTAGGGGTTTTTAAAATATAGATTTTTTTCAAAATGGCAGCTATTTTTACGAAAAGTTCGTACTTTTGTGAATACAAGTCTTTTGTAAAATTTCTTTTGTAAAACAGCATTTCGAGAAAAATCAATATTTTGAAAAATCCCCACGTACCTCTCTAGTCTTTAAATGTATAGATAATGAAAATTCTTTATGTTATGTTCAAGGCCAAACCGTGTGCCTGAAATCCTGTACACCGATAGAAAAAAAGAATTTCGCAAGTGTAGGCCAGTGCGCCGCCATTTTGGATATAAGAAAAATAAAAAAATATTTTTTTGGTTTCTTATATATGTACAATAATGTTCTGTAAGCAGATTTTAAATAAAGTTATCCATTTATCTACAAAAAAA